GCATAGTGGCAAACCAGTGATTTTTTAGAATCAGTTCATTTTTAATTTCCTCATTTACCCAAGATTTTAACAGATTTCTTATGTATGATAATTCTGGTATCCAAGATACTTTACTGGTCTACTTATAGGACTCAAAAATGAACTTGATGAAGAGTCTAAAAAACTCTCTGCTTTGCCACTATGGGTTAGCGTAGGTGTTTTAAGCCTTTAAGAAGTTCATTTTTTGCCTCAAATAACAATGTTAGGTAGAAAAAGTGGTCTTAGTGGATCGAAATCATATATAAACCTTTGAAATTAGAATTCCATCCTGACCCTGACCATGGGGTATTTCCCAGAAATTCCAGAATTTTACTAAATTAGTAAATAGTAAATACCAGTTTCAAATAAAAAATAACAATGAATATCAATATCAATGTCTTTACAGTAACCTGACTATTTTAGACTTAGCCTAGGTCCTGACCTGAGGACCTTAGACGGTCAGACCTGGAGCCTGAGTAACAAAAGATAACATTTTAAGTCATTCCTAGGTATTTCCCAGAATTGTACTAAATAGTAAATACCAGTTTCAAATAAAAAATATCAATGAATCTTAAACACTAAAACAACTCGCCTTAGAAGGGTAAACTAATTTTTTGTTAAAATGATCGTTACCAACAATTTTCACTGTTTTTTTGGACAATTTTGCGTTTGTTTCTGGCGCCTATTCATACTAGGCTACAGTAACTCAATGCACTTCCACTTCCTCATGCAGGCTTGCAGCTTCAAAAACTGCGGAACGAAAACTGATGCTGGACGCTATTAAATTTAGATTATTTCAACAATATTTAACGGAATCATCTTCATACAAGGATTGAATTTTTTTAACATGTAGCACTTTACGGGTTACATTAAAAACTTAACCGTTTTAATTTTCTTCGAAAAAACTTAAACTAAGCTTCTTGAAAATTTATAAAACACAACAGGGGCTACATCTCAATAATGGGCTAATAAAAATCAAAATAGATACATCATCATTCGATGAAGGCTTCAGATCCTAAGCTGTTTAGAGCCAGGAGTCGACAAAAATATCAACATTTTCTCAAAGAGGTGAAGTAATTAGATAAGGCAGGTGAATTTGAACCGAAACGAAGAGGAGTAGGATGCTTACGCAAAACGTCGAGCACTCTCACGAGAAAGAAAGAGGAATTTAAAACCCAGTAGGACCTCTCGCAACCACCATAGATAGTGGGGTTAGAAGAACCCACCAAAGAAAAAAATTGGGAAGAAACCACAGAGCTAGGATCATAGGTGTTCTTTTTCAAACACTACGAATATGTGCCATAAAAGTTGAGCACTAGTGCAAGAGGTTCAGCCGGTCTCTCTGAATTCTATCAGTTTCATGAGAAAAGTTTTATAAACTAATGAGAAATACCAATGGAAAAGGCTTCAGCATCCTACAGCATCTCTATCCCGCATCTTATATTTTGCTGTTAAAGTGCTGGCAGTGACCGCTAATCCACCATTTAGACGCCTGCTATCGATCGACAATTATCGGTGAAATAGTAGCATGCGGCGATCTATAAGTAAGAACCCAAGATTTTATCTACGAATTACAAAGCTGTCAGCCTTACCTGTACTGCATGTAAGATCAAGGAAAATGACTAATCCATAGAGACCGAAGTGGCTTGTGACCACTAACAGAAACACCACCTACTGACAAATAGAAGAAGACAAAATTGACAAAGAAGAGCAAACCGAGGAGTGCTGCCAACATATAAACTTGACCGCAGAATTGACTGCCGCAGTCAAGGGCAGCTAGCTCTGTAGCTGGACGCTCAGGAACTCTGAATCCCGGAGGAGAATCACAACCTTCTATGCAACGCACCAGAATCCCGAGATGTTCACAATGAAAGTTACTGACCCTAATCGCAGCCTAGTGTGGAAAGGATTTCAGCAACAGAAACTTTCGAACTCCGACCCACGATTAGTTAGAGGACTAGCACACGTATTAGTTGATAGGTTTGCTCTAACAGCCAACAAGGGTTACAGGTGAATGGGATATAGATGGTACTTCCGTCATTTTTATTCAAAAAGTTTCCATACATATTCTTCACACAGATTAACAAGCAATGCGGACAAGTAAATGAAAATTCGTATTATCTGATGCTTTGCAAAACACTTTTTATACTGTCAAGTACCTGAGAAGTATGAAATGGTCACAAGACGAATGTGCGAGCGTAACAGGAATTTCAAATGACAGTACATGGTTACAACTAGTGCATTATTCCTACCCGCCGATCAATCTTGCTTCTCAGAGTAGAGAGGCCTCAGTTCAAGACATTTAGCATTACTTCTTCGTCAGTCAATTCAAAGGATCTAAAGGTATGAATAAACATTTGCAGCTGTACACTTTAGTAGCTCAATTATGTTAGTCACTTCCAAGCAAAAGGATTTAATAATTTATACTCGCCTGCAAATGTACTCTACTGCAGGTATCGACTCTAGAGCTGCTAGACAAGTTCGCACTGGGTTTGCATCTATAGCATAATATCACAGGGAACCTATGTACAAAAATACTCATTAGTTCTCCGTTTAATGAACAGCATATCAATGTAATCCAAATTAAAAACACGCAACTCTCCAATACTTACTTATTTAGAAATTTATTACAGCAAGGGCAGGTCCATTTATTGGCAATACTCGACATTATCGAGGACTAAAAAGTTCATTAGTCCAAGTCCGAAATTAATTTAATTTAATCATGATAATTATACGTAATCGATAAGAGGTTTAGGCTTGAGATAAATTAAATCCTTTCTGTGTACAATAAAGCGCGCCTAAGAATAGCAAAAAATATCAGAAACAAGATCTTCCTAAAAAACTGCAGTAATTTCCAATGGCGTTGCTGCTAATTGGGAGGATATATCGCAGATCAGAACCTTATTATTTAACGTGCAAACTACCGGGTGAAAGACTGATCGAATTTCGACATAAAACACAAAGTTTTTACAAGTAATGCCCAAACGAGATCAAAAAATTCACACAGAAAATCACCTAACATTTTCCATCAATTCTGCTGGCAGTAAATGAGTATATGAGCAGCTACATTAAACAGAGCCGAACTATGTTCACTCACAGCCATTTTCTCATCGTGTTCATACTTCATTTTGCCGAGCACAACTAAAACACGTAGCAATAAAACGGGTAATATTCCCAAGAATAGCCATGTGTGCTATATAATCACTCTACTCGATTTTCCTGCTCATTTGTTCATAATCAAGTTCACGACATCAGCAATACGTCAAATGAAACGAGGACAACAGATTCCCAGATGAAGAGACTAAACACAAAGCCAATTAGAGCAGAAATATAGGATAGGCGTCGAAAACTGAATTTTTACAAATAAAGCTTCAATAAAGCATGGAATGTGACCAAATTTTGATCATATGCGTTTTGGCAAACGCCAATGAATTGAGAATAATCATACTATGCCGTCACACAAACACATTTCCGGCAGATATATGAATGAACTGAACAATAATGTTTGCGACAGTAATTAAACTATAAAAACATGCACAGAAGTTACTCATAAATGAAGCAATAAATTAAAGCTCATTTACAAGGGAAAGTAAAGACATTCCGATACTAAAAAGATCAAGACGTACAAGGTGCGCCTGCTCATAGAGCTGCTGAAGGCTTTGCATTCGTCTTTGTAATCTTGGCGGTAAAACCAATGGAGTTCCATAAATTGAACGCTCAACGACAAGCACACACAGCAGTCAAGTTAAATGCATCCATCTTCAAGACAGAAACGGAATTCGGTGCGTATACAGAGAAATGTAGATGCGAGCAACGGAGATTAAATAGCGTATCTGAATGAATAGAAAGACATAATAATCCGTTTGCAACAAACGCCTGAGACTTTGAGTTTAAAATAGCCGGCAGTAGGGCACCAAAGGGCTGTTTCACAACAAAGGTTAGAGTTCATTAAAACAAAAACAAGGTCTCCTTTCACAGACAAGGAATATTTAATTTTCGAAGCTGGAAAGTTTTGGCGCACGCAAAGAGAACAAATATTTCAGCTATCAACTGAGAATGATCACATTTTTACTTCATTTTTTAAAATAGTTGATTAACGTCTTGAGTAGAAACAAAAAAAAAAAAAAAACAGTACCACAGCTAAAAAGTCTCTTCAATTTCAGGCTCAGGCATGTAGTTGGGGAGTGTTGTGGAGGAAGGTACAACGGCTACCGAAGAATCCGTGTAGGCAGTGTTCTGACTAGGCGCAGGAGTGGAGAGAGCAGGAGTGGAAGGAGCAGGAGTAGAGGGAACAGGAGCTGAAAGAGCAGGTTGGGATGTAGGATGAAGTGGTACCGATAAGTCTACATCCACCGTGTGGTTATTGAGAGTCGAGGTCGTGGTAGGGGATGGCATCGGCGTGGACGTTGATTGGATAACGGAGTTGAGAGAGGTCATGTCACCGTCGTCCGAATCCAAAGCAGCCTTGACTATATCGTCAAGCTCTTCGTCGATGGCGTTCCACTTGAGGTCTGTCATTAAATTCGCCTTTGACGTCTTACGTTCACGAGTCGCGGAAATGGTGTTGGAGGGAGCGGGCGCCGACGGCTCAGCGTTAGCAGACGCCTGTGGGGTCGGGTGAGACACAGGCGGCAGCTCGACGTCTTCCAGACCAGCTGGAGCTTTTAGCTTCTGAAACTCTTCTTTCAACGGCAACAGAAGTTTCTGAGGCGGATAAAAATAATAAGTTGGCATCAACCATAAATGAATAGAAAACTAATAGTTAACGATTAAGAACCTAAGTTAGAATTTTTGATCAAGTCAATGAGTTAGATCACTAGAAATTCTAAACTGTCTCATCAAGACTCGACTATAGATGGATAACAATCTATACTAGCTGGAGTATAGTGTGCCTTAGGTCATTTTCATTGGCTGCAGCCTAAAGATATCACGAATGGTTCCAATAGTAAACAATTTGACAAAGTATTTTGAATGAACCATGGCAATTATTATGTTCACCTCAATTAAGCTAAGCTCATTGGTGTTGAAAAGATCAATCAAGCAAGAAAAGTAATTATTGAACCTTATGTAGGAACCAAAACTAGAGTATAGTTAAATTTAATTTGTGATTGTGGCTCAAAGTGTAAGTGATCCTTCAAGACTAGCATCAAAGCACAGTAGAAATCATCCAACACATTCGTTACAATTCAATTCAAAATTTTTAACGGCAACCTCACCTTCAAAGAAGCCACGTTGTGCGCAGCCCTGCTCACTCGTCGTCCGCTTTCAGGCATCGTCTCGGTCTCTTGGATCCAGCGCTCGATCTGAGCGATTATCTCGTGCTGCTTCAAGTACAGATGACGCTCCACCACCTGCATATAGTTTTAATTAAGCAAACTTTCAGGAAGTCAGAATATTTAACTGCCAAGTTCATGAATAATATTGAACTGCTAAGTTCAAGAATAATATTGAACTGCTAAGTTCATGAATAATATTGAACTGCCAAGTTCAAGAATAATATTGAACTGCTAAATTCAAGAATAATATTGAACTGCCAAGTTCAAGAATAATATTGAACTGCCAAGTTCAAGAATAATATAGAAGTGCCAAGTTCAAGAATAATATTGAACTGCTAAGTTCAAGAATAATATTGAACTTCTAAGTTCAAGAATAATATAGAACTGCCAAGTTCAAGAAGGATATTGAAGTGCCAAGAACACAGTTCAAGAATAATATTGAACTGCCAAGAAGTCCAAGAATAATTGTTACTCAAATTTCAAATATTGAAGTCATCATGGTGAAGCGGCATCAAAAAGTTTCCTAGATGTAATTAGTAAGTGATTAGTACGGCTTTTTTATAATGATGAAATAATTTTACCTAATCAAGAGGCAGGATTCCAATTGCCCTAAATAAAATTCTTATTTCACCTAATAAAAACAAAGGCAATGCTACTAGTAAGGATACAAAGCGATAGGTTATTATTCAATTACCAAAATACCTCTTTAAAGCATGGGGAAGGATCTTTGAGCTGTTGCAGAATGGCCCATTTTACGGTGGCAGTGCGGATGTTGGCGTCATACTCGCGCGAATGCTGCGTGGCTGTGGCCGTGCCGCGCGATCGTTCGTACCCAGGCTCGTTGAAATAAGGTTCACTCACAAGGATCAGTGACTGGATCGATACCAGGACCTGTAATATACAACACGGTTAGCTCACCAGAATCAGTGACTGGTATAAGATCTGTCTCTTATACACATCTAGATGTGTATAAGAGACAGGNTCGATACCAGGACCTGTAATATACAATACGGTTAGCTCAACAGAATCAGTGACTGGATCGATACCAGGACCTGTAATATACAATACGGTTAGCTCAACAGAATCAGTGACTGGATCGATACCAGGACCTGTAATAAACAACACGGTTAGCTCACCAGAATCAGTGACTGGTATAAGATAGATAATAACTGGATCGGTACAAGACAATGTGATAAAAGCGCCGTAGCGCCCATAAAATCGACCAAAAAATAACGAAAATGTAAACCCATTTTCTCAGTATTAGATAGATGAAATTCAAAGACTAACAGTCTTTGAGTTGACAGTCTTTAGTCAAATGAATTGTGGCCAGAGCTAGGAAGAACGCTTATATATATTAATGCATGTGCTTTTTTATCTGACTGTGAGTTAGATAAAATGACTCAAGCAGCAACGAAGTTTATCCCAGTAAATTCAGACAATGGAAATTAAATTACAAAAGAACTAAAGCAATAATTATTTATAACGATTAATCCAATCAGAAGTTACGAACAAACCTGCAGAAGTGAAGATGTCTGGCTGTTCCATTTTTCTTCAGGTCGGCCATGCCAGGTGTTGAGGATACTGAGGCAAACTTTTCCATCTTGGTAGAGGTTTGGATTAAAGCGTACCTAGAAGATCGATAATGTTAGCAGGCTTTAAGAACCTTCCCTTCATTGTAAAATGTAAATCAACTTCATTTTATATCAGCAGCATGCAATTGATTATAAGAATAATTACCAAAATTATTCTTACCAAATGACAGAATTGCCAAAAAATTCTGTCATAACATGCATCAAGATAAATGCATGTTATGACAAAATTTTGGCAGCGCGATTAATAGCTACGATACGATAACAGGAATCACAAAATATAACGATGACGTCTGGCGTTGAAGTTAATAGTAAACCTTAATAAAATATAACATTCTTGCACGTTGATATTAAATGCCTCGTATCCTACGGAACAACTGAAATCTAGAAGCTATTTTAAATCTGCCGTCCGTTAAAAAGATTTGATCAAAAGGCCAGTCTAGTCAAGAAAAGTACAAGAATCGGCGACAGGCCTATCCAGGCCTATTCTTCAATGCCGAAGATACTATACTATACTATATTGATTCATCACCGAGGTCACTGAACTATTTAGTCAGGGTTGTGATCACCGCAGAAGAAGATACTTACTCTTCCTTCGCCCGTGGTTTGGAGCTTAATTTGAAGGGGCGAGGTGGGGTAATCTGACGGGAAGTAAACGTCGAACTCAAAAAGTCCATTAGCGTAGGGCGTGTCTTCTGGACCAATGATCAGGACCTGAGAAGATTAAATTGGATTAAAATTATTAATTAATTGGGATTAATTCAATCCTATTAATTTAATTGGATTAATTAAATCCAATTTAATGCCTGCTAGGCATTAAATTGGAATTTTGTTGCGTCAAACTCAAGATAACAAGTAGAAAACTAAACCATTATTCAATCTAAAATTTATCAACGATCGAGAACTTTGTCAAGTCTTGTCTAATTCAACTAATCGTACTATCAATGCTTAATATACGATCAATACACCATCAGTCAGCCGCGTTCAGCAATTAGTTTCCTTTCAATTGTTTTCCTAGAAAAATCATATACTGGTACCGGAAACAAACTTTGAAACCAAATTGCCAACGGCTGCCACAGAACTTGAAGTGAACCCATAAAAAATAAATTATAAAGAATTTAAAATTACTACTAATTTTGTTACATTTTTTTCAATTTTTAGTCATTGCTTGCTCACGCAACAGACACGACTTTGAATGAACGAACATCACCTTATTTGCAATGATTCAATAACCAGCTTTGCAATAACTCACAACATCTTTTTTACATATTTTTACACGAGCTTATTCTTGTTGGATCTTACCTTCATGATATCGAGTCTGTCTGTATCAGTCCTGATGAAGACCGAGGACGAGTAGGAGAGAGGCAGGGAGGTGGACAGCGTCACAGCCTCCTGTGCGAGGCGCTTGATCCTGAAGGGCGCCGCGAGGGCACTCAGGTTGCGTAGGGCGCCCTCGAAGAGGTGGCTCACTGTGAACCGAGTGTTCCCCGTCGTCTCGTCCTCTACCACCATCTCAAAAGAGTCTGCACGCGAATACGAAAATTGTTACGACATTTTATAACTGTCACTAATGTTCACAGCCAAAAAATGTACTTATCGACGTTATGGTGCAAAATTTGAGAGTTGAATAACATCCGATATTTCCAGTTTGTCATTGGGTTGTCACACGAGCGAAAAAGACCGTTTTCCTTTAATTTTGTTTCACCTGTTCGAACATTTAGAATAAATACAACTTTAGGGCCTAAAAATTCAGACTGTGGTTACCTAGATTGCTTTAGCCAGGTACAAACACAAAAGTATAACATTAAAGCGATAATCGAAAAGTATTCCGTAAACAAATAAACTTAAGTGACGAGGCAGAACCTCTTTAAATCCACAAACTATAGTTTTTCGGCGTGGGATATATAATTATTAAACAAAAACAAGATCATAAACGAAACATGTTTCAGACAAGGACTATGATGACTATGAAAGAATTAGTATACACATACACTGTATACAAATTCGTACCGAATTGTAGCGGCTTCAGCGCAGCTAAGTAAATCTCAACAATGGAGGCCTTCTTGCTCAAAGTTTCCTTGGTGTTTGGTTCTTCCTTCACGGTCATTTCTGAAGCGCTGGGGTCAGATGCCGATAGACTTACTAGTGCCAGCTGCAATCACGAGGAGTACAATATAAGACAAGTGATTGTGGCTCAAACAAGGGATAAAATTCCCATGTGGGTAATATATGGACTTTTTAGTGGTAATTAACAGATGAAAACTATCTTTAGTGTTTCGATTTAACAATATATTTGTAGGTTGGCTGTGACTTCAGTTAAGCGGTGACGTAAGTGACATGAGTGTTGTGGCTAGATGAATTGAGTCAAAAGATAAAAGGATGGATTTAAATAACTTACAGAAGCTACAGCTTCTGTCATCTAGTGAGCATGATTTTAAGCATTATCAAACTTGAGCTAGATACAAAGGTTGAAAATAAACATACAGCATCTCTACCTTGACAAGTAGTTCGGTTCTCTCGAGGTCAGGAACAAGCAGAGTTAGCCCTTCATCATCGGTGTTCTCAGGTGTAACACCGGTTCGATCGAGATCTTTTTGCAGCATCTCGTCTATTTCGTCCAGGAAAATAAGCGTCTTTACGAGGTGCTTAACTCCAGAATCATCACTGGATGATGCGGTGGCACTTGAATTTCCAGCTTTGGCATTCTTACTGCCATTAGCACCGGCGGGATTCTTGCCTGACTTCTCTGAGTTCTTGCCAGTCTTGCTGGGTTTCCAAGACAGTTTACTGATGTAAGTGTTGACAGTTTTAGACATTTTGGAGAGGAGAGCGAGGATGGAGGTAGAGGAGTCGCTGGATGGTTGCCCTGATGTGGTGCGATGCAGAAGGAGAGGAGCGAGGCTTGGTGTCACGGCGATGGCACGGATAAATGCAAGCAGGGCTCGGTAGAGAGGCACGTGGCGCGACAGATCCAACACTGCATTCAAAGAAAAATCTTCGTATAATCTCTTATTTTTATATCATCAAAGATTTACAAGTATTTTATTTTCTATTTTTTTAATCTTTCTTGAATTGAAATCGATTTGGCGGTAATTGCAAGAAAACTCAGCAATTCTCATCACGGCTCAGACCAATACAATCAACAGAGGTAGGACAATTAAATAAAGATAAATTTTTTTTATAATATTCGTCGTTATCTGCAGATACGCGACCAATGTAGCTCACAAACGAGAACCAAGGTGCAATTTAAATCTAAGATAGTTAAAGATACACATGCATTTTGTACACCAATAATTAAAAAGGCTTCATGTAAGTAAAGTACCACGTAGAGAGTTTAGAAGCGATTATTAATGCACGTAACGAAAGTATGGAAAACTCAGATAAACAGCTCAAAATATAACCGTGCTTTCAGAGTGATGGCAAAAAAGTGATTTAATGAGAAGTGCAGCTTTTTCGATACCATCACCACGAAAATTTCGGAGTACAACACACATAAATAACTGACCCGAATCGTTGCTGAGGTGGGACGAAATCTTATCCATGAACTGAATGTTGTCAACAAGCGTGCGCAGTTCGGTCATGAGAAGCTGGCCCTCCGCGGGCTCCTGAGCAGCGCTGGGCTTGACACTCTCACTGCCTGACCTGTCGTTGGAGGCAGCACCGTCCGTGATGCCATTTGCTTTGTCACCTGTGCATTGCGGAATAATCTTGATCAATATTTAACCAGACACTATAAAACAATTAAAAATTTAAAACAATTCAGTCATTAGAAGCTGGCCCTCAGCGGGTTCCTGAGCAGCACCGGCTGCTCAGGACGCTCTCACCGGCTGACCTGTCGTTGGTGGCAGCACCGTCCGTGATGCCATTCGCTTTGTCACCTGTGCATTGCGGAATAATATTGATTGACAGGGTGAACTCCCCTATCTTGGATCCTTTTAGTAGGAACTTAGATCCATGACATTTAATTAGACACTATAAAACAATTCAAACCCAATTTAAATACTCCAAACCACAAAAAAAAAATTACGAATTAAAATCGGATTGTAGAAATAGAATCAAAATAAAAGAATTAAAATTAGAACAATCATAATCAAATTATCTTTAATTAATATCAAATTAGTTAAATAAAATCGCATTACACGTGCCGGCAAGCTGAAAAATGCAAAGATAAAATTATCGGGGAAATATAATAGAATTACAAAAGTTATACGAGTTGATCAGATTTTAATTGGCGGTGTGCTGCGGTCAGTGCACGGTAGTTAAGCTCAGATCCGCTTCACATTAGTTCGTATGATCTATCAAAAAGCTGTGGCCATAATTACTCTTTGTCTATTAGGCTACAATGTCCTTTACCTTCTATGAATGTTAGGTAACTTATTTGCGGTGAAACCTAGCACATGAAAAGTATTATACACATATGTACTTTAATAAATCTTTGTCTTAATAAATCTTTAAATAAATCTTTAATAATACTTTTATATGTTGAATCATAACTAAATAATTACTATAAACAAACTCCAATGCCAGACACTGTACAAAATCAAACTGGTTAGTATCTTTTTCGAAGTTAATCTTCAAGAGGGACACTGCTTTCTGGTAAGTTGTTCACTCAACGAACAATATTTGCTTCCTTGTAAATGATTTACCCAAGCAGCGGTGCGCGTACCACTGAAAAAATATCTGAAACTAACAATTTTCCTGTATCAACTAACATAATCTTCATCCTAATTAGATAAAAATAAAATCAGAATCGCAAAGGCATTAATACCGATTCAATGTCATCAGTGATCAGGGCTCTACATAACTGCATCTACATAACTATATGTTACAGTAGAGTACTCTTGTAACAGATGGCAACTCGATTTTATAGTGAAAATGTAATACATCAGCACTATCATGATTCCTATATTGCATTGTTGTACAATACAATATTGTATCATAATCGTCCGGTCATAGCTCAACAGGGTTGATTTTATAGTGCAAACGTAATACAATGCACTATCATGCCTCTAGATTCCATTGTTGTACAATACAATATTGTATGATAATCCTCCGGTGCAGCTGACCAGGGTTGAGTTTAAAGTGCAAATGTTATACATCAGCACTATTATGCCTATTAAATTGCATTGTTATACAATACAATATTGTATGATAATCCTCCGGTCATAGTTCACCAGGGTTGATGTAATACAATAGCATCTTCACGACTCCTATAAATTGCATTGTTGTACAATACAATATTGTATCAAAATCCTTAAGTGATAGCTCACCAGGGTTTATTTTATAGTGCAAAAGTAATACATTCACACTATCATGCCTAACATATTGCATTGTTGTACAATACAATATTGTATGATAATCCTGGGGTCATAGCTCACCAGGGTTGATGAAGTTGTGCAAACGTAATAGAATGCACTATCATGCCTCTATATTGTATTGCTGTACAATACAATATTGTATGATAATCATTTTACCAATGCAATTTGATCATGGTTAAATAATTTCAGAACAAAACATTTACTGGTTACAACAAGAAAAATCCTGAGAGCAAACAAACCGATTTCATTTCTAACTTGGTCAATTCTGGAAACCTATAGTATATTGAAGTCTCAAGTATTTACTGTAGATAGAATCCACATTTTGCACTTGTATGCTGAAAAAATTGCATCATGCTGCAAATGTATTTTTAAATGCAACAGTTTTCACCCTCAAAGCAGGTTCTTGTCCACTGTGATTAAGAATACACCAGAGTTCCACTTGTGCCCTAAGCAAGCGAGCCCATACCCAACTTCACACCACTTTTACCCGACGCAAGTAAGCTCACACCAGAGTTCATATCACACACATCCTACGCAAGTACAGTCATACCAAAGTTCATACCACCTGTCTTGTACTACGTAAATAAGGAAATCTAAGATTACGTAAATATTATGAACTGGTTGTTGGAAGTGCATGTAAAATAATAATCCAAGAGTATGTCATTCTAGAGTTGATACCACTCATGACACTGACCCGTAGGCTCAATGTTTATGCAGTGGAAATCTTAAATTACATAAATATTATGAACTGGTCGTTGGAACTAGTACGTGTAAAATAAAAATCTAAGAGTATGTCATACCAGAGTTGACACCACTCATGACACTGACCCGTAGGCTCGATGTTGATGCAGTGGCGTAGCAAGAGGAGCCACCAGTCTGAGGTGCTAAAGTCTTGCTGTGTCCTAAGACTATCATGCCCCACGAAACTCAGGACGCTCTCACCGGCTGACCTGTCGTTGGTGGCAGCACCGTCCGTGATGCCATTCGCTTTGTCACCTGTGCATTGCGGAATAATATTGATCGACATTTAATTAGACACTATAAAACAAGTCAAACTCAATTTAAATAATCCAAACCATATTAAAAGAAACTAACGAATTAAAATCGGATTGTAGAAATAGAATTAAATTTAAAGAATTAAAATTAGAAGAATCATAATTAAATTATCTAAAATTAATATCAAATTACTAAGTTTAACAAAATTGCATTACACGTGCCGGCAAGCTGAAAAATGCAAAGATAAAATTATCGGGGAAATATAATAGAATTACAAAAGTTATACGAGTTGATCAGACTTTAATAGGCGGTGTGCTGCGGTCAGTGCACGGTAGTTAAGCTCAGATCCGCTTCACATTAGTTCGTATGATCTATCAAAAAGCTGTGGCCATAATTATTCTTTGTCTATTATGTTACAAAGTCCTTTCAAACACAGCACTTTCTAATAATGTTAGCTCACGTCTTTGCTGTGAATAACCACCTTGCACATAAAAATATTATACACATATATATTTTAATAAAAAATCACTTATATATAACTAATAACAAAATAATAACGATAAACAAACTCTAATGCCAGACACGGTACAAAATCATACAATATTTTTCAAAGTCAATCGTCAGAAGGACACGTTAAAGATATACCCAAGCAGCCGTGCGCGTACCAGAAAAAAATATCTGAAACTAACAATTTTCACACATCAACTACCATTAACCTTGACTCCAATTAGATAAAAAAAAATCAAAATCGCAAAGCCATTAATTCCGATTTAAAGTCATCAGTGATCAAGGCTCTACACAGCTGCATCAATACAGTAGAGTACTATTGTAACAGTTGGCAACTTGATTTTATAGTGCAAATGTAATACATTAACACTATCATGCCTCAATATTGTATTGTTGTACAATACAATAATGTATGATAATCCACCAGTGATAGCTCACCAGGGTTGATGAAGTTGTGCAGGAGCCGCAGCAGCCACACGGTGTGTTCCTCCTGCAGTCGTTGTCGTACGATCGCTTGCTCCACGTCCCATGTCTGCACGGTGCTGCCAGTTCCGAAGCCTGTGCCTGCAATGTAACCGTGATCACATTAACCTTTATAGAATAAGCGTCAGAACAGACTTCAGGTGAATAGAGGCAGGTCAATTTTATTCATTTTTAGCGCATTTCTCATTTGTGGAAAAAATGCACTATTGTGCTCGCCATGTCCGTCTGTCCGTCCGTTGTCCGTCCGTGACTTCACGTTTTCGTCGACGAGAAAATGCGCTCTGTCACTCACTGCAGTGACCAGTGAGTACCGAGTCGTATTTTTTAGTTTATTCATTATGACAGTTCATCAGTTATGGCAGATCAATTAAAATTTTCAAGAATGATTTGAAAAAGAAGAAAAATATAAGAGCAGAAGTTTACTGAGCACGAGGATTCTGCGTTTGAATTTTCAAACTAAACTAAACCCAATTAGTTAAACTGGGAAGGCTGTTCATTATTCACCATCACACAACGAAAAAAATTGAGTTGAAAACTTGACCAGGATGTGGGATTAGAACTTTGCAGATCACCAGATCAGAGACTTCACTAAACTACTAAACTAAAAATTGTCGAGCTAATCTTTCAATACATGAGGCTAAATGCCAACGACACCGACTTAATGCCTGGAGGCTGCAACCGCTTAATGGTTTCATGCTGAAACCAAGCAAAGGTCGGCAAGCTAAAACCAAGATAATTTAGGCAGGCTGAAACCAAGCAATGGTTGGCAGGCCAAAACCAAGCAAATGTCGGCAGGCCGAAACCAAGCAAAGTTCGGCAGGCCGAAACCAAGCAAAGATCGGCAGGCTGAAACCAACCATGGATCTTCAGAATGAAACCGACCGAAGTTTCACACCGTAAAATGAAGCAGGTTAATTACCCTTGGCCCAGTAGTGGCATCTGTCAGCGCTGGACTCAGCGGCAGGTCCTCCAGAGGCGCCAGAGTTGCCGACAGCGCTGCTGCTACCGCCGCCCCCTGACCCGTCCGCGCGTGCGGAACTGTTTTGGTATCCGTAGTTGTCCATGCACCAGGCACGGACTCCGCCCACCACGGACGGTATCGGAACCAGCTGAAAAAAAGGTTAAAGTGAGCGAAAATGAAAAGAAGGTATGAATAATGTCGCTGCATGAGGGTCCAGTAATGTATCATCACTAAAAACATGCTCATTAGGATTTATTAGAAATGTATTGTACACAAAAATTGCATTGGTATTTGCGACACAGTAAAAGAGCCACAGACATCACCACGCTAAAGTTTGCTCATTAGGCAGTACGTGGGGTATTTAAAAAAATGTCAACACATTAACTATGGAAGGACACCGCACCTTGTGTCGGAGTTTTGAGTAGAGAGAAGGAGGTGTATGAGCAGACAGAGCGGCCAGGCATGCTAACAAATGATGAATGATGCCATATTCCATGCACAGCCGCCTCAGCTCACAACCCTTGGCAGACGAGACGCTGTGACGCAACAGGACTTGGTTAAGGCGTGTGTACACGACCGTGGCTATGGACTCGCCCCTGTAGTTCTCACGACACGTTTCTTGAACGCCTAAGGCGAGCTTCAGCAAGATCTTTGCTTCGGATGTATTGCTTAGAAGTTCTTCTGCGTAGCCTGCAAACAAGTTAAGATTCATCACATAATTTTCAAGCAATAATGTAGGAAATTTAAGTTTCAAACACAAGACGAATGCAATACAAAAAATTGGAGAAGCACGTATGATACAACAAGCATCACGCATAATGCAATTATTATTTTCATTCGTCAGCCATATTTATAGAGGATTCTTTACTATCGTCTAGATTGTATCGGTCAGAAGCAAACTGTAACAATCAAAATCTAGGAATAGATTTCTGACACTTGAGACGACTAAATATTTATCCGTTAGACAAAAATTCTCACCTGGAAGTCGGAGGAATAGGGTGAAAGCCCCAAGCGTATGCGGCGCTATAGACAAAACAACGGGAGCACCATGAGGAGAGCTGCTGGACTGTTGAGCAGAGCTGAGTTGAGATTGAACTGGGTTGAAGCTACTTTGAACGATATTGGAAAGGTAGGAGAAATTGGCAGGAGTCGGCGGTCCCGAAGAAGACTTATTAGTCGAAGAAGTGGAGAGAGAAGAAGGTGAAAGCGAGGCAGGGTCCGGGTACAAAACTGTCATGTGACGAGCCAGCACAGCCAAGCCACCTTGGTCGCAAAACTCGCGTAGCAGAGATGGACACTCAGACACAACTGGTAATGTACCTAAACAAGTTGCTTCAGGAATGCTACCTGCTTCAGCCCCGTTGTCGGCACTACTGCATCCACTGCTTGTGGGGTTTCTGGTCGTCGTATAACTACCACTGCAGGCCGATGCTGTGGAGTATGCAGCATCATCGCTGTTTACAGAACCCGCTTTGCTAGAGCTCCTGAACTTCTTGTCTCCTGCTGAATAAATCTTGAACTTTAGGTGGGTGTTTTGCACAGCATGATTAATCTCCAGACTGGCCAGAACTTGAGCGATGCTGAGATGGAGAGGAACTTCTAGTTCAACCTCGTCAGTATTCGACAATTCAGCATCATCGTCATCACAGTCTGATGCTATCACAGTGCAATGGAATGGAGCAAACGAACCGTGATCGCCTGACTTTCCACTGCCCGCAGATTTGTTGTTGCTGTCCAGACTGCTTGAGCAATTTTCCTCTCCTTTCGGCTTACCTCCTTTGCCTGGTTTCGAGGGACCCACTGATTTCGAAACAAAACAACAATTCAAAATACTAGACCATTCGATACACAGTTAACTGTGTCATGCAATAATAAAAACCTCACAGCCAGATAATGAATACCAAGTGAATATATAAAAACGAATCAAATTTTCAAACACCTGCAAAGTTGTACAGTAACAATGTGTTATAAATTTTGTCACTGAAGCTTAGATTTTACAGATTCAAAGCTTATAGATGTGTGAAGGAATTTCGATATGTTATCTGATGACTCTCACCAGCGATGCCTGAAATTACGCCGTTGACAATGGCGCTGACGATGTCTTTGGTGCGCTTCTGCTTGGCCTTCATGGCGGCCGACATGGAGAGCTTGTCGATGGTGTAGAGTTCTGCCGCGAGCATTTGATTGGCGATGAAGTCGTCGTCGGCGTCATCGTCCAGGTCGTCGTCCTGGAACAATAGCAACGCATAGAAATGGCCGAGTTTAAATTTACAGCACGACAAGAATAATAGCAACACACAGAAAATGCCTGAGTTTTAAATATTAAGCACGACAAGAACAATATCAACAAATAAAAATGACCAAGTTTAAATTACCAGCATGACAAGAACAATAGCAACACACTTAGAAATGCACGCGTTCTACATTGTAAGCACAAAAGGCATATGAATTGAATGGCGAGTACGAACAACGTAGTAATTCAAAGGAAGAGGCAGTTACGCCTAGCTAGAAATAACCCAAAGCCTTCATGTTTAAAATTAATCAAAGAAAAACTGGGATCCTTAACCCGATGCCAGTTAGAATAAAAAGCAACAGAATATGAATAAATCGATCAGAAGTCCGTTAGTAATGGAGATTTAGGGCTTTCTAGATCCAAGAATAAATGGGACTCTAAAGCCCTTAATAGACACCAATAACCTCGAGAGGGCAAAATTGGACTTCATTCATCCTTCATCCTTAATAATCATCCTTCATCCTTAATAATTATCCTTCATCCTTAATAATTATCCTTCATCCTTAATAATTATCCTTCATCCTTAATAATCCAGCAGCATTCCAGGTTATTAGGTCTCTACCAGCATTGCAAACAACATTTAAGTCACTCAAAGCCTAAACAAAGTGGGTAAATTCATACAAAAACCTTTTCGGAAACACACCACAGAAAATCCAGTTTACTCCTAAATAAATTTCAAGTTGACAAGAACTTAATCACAGAAAGGTTTTTTTTTTATATTTTGCAGAGAAAAGTTTCACATCTGACAACAGGGTTTACACCAAAATAAATATCGGAGGAGAATAAGTTTGGCTCAGAAAAATGGGCATGTATCTTAATAAATAAAATTTTGTACCAAAAATTACTCGGAAAATTCTTTCAGAGTTCAGACAAATCCGGTAGTCAGAAAATAGATAGCTGGAGTCCAATCTGTAGAGATGACGGGTTCAGCTATCGCCAGTCGGTTGTTGTCGGGCCACTTCTTGATCACGATGCTGAAAAAAAGCTCCAGCTATCTATTTTCTGACTACCGGATAATAAATAAAAATAGACAAAGAAACCACAAAGAGGATTTGTCCCTAAACACAGTGTTGAGAAGTTTACGTCATCATCGCAGCAGATGATCATTGGCTCTTCCTTGGTGGAGGAGGACGAGGGTGCAGACGGAGGGTGTGATCGCGTCCAGCCTGTAGTGTCGCTGTCGCTCCCGCCAGCGTTGCCGGACTGAGTTGTGAGTACGTCCGATCCTGGACAAAATGATAAGCAAATTATTTTTTGACTTTATTTCTGCAACAACTTCGTCACTTCGAAAATGTGGAAACTAGAAAACATTGAATAATCTGATAATTGAGGCATGTTGAAAAAACTGGCTCAAAACCCTCCACTCAGAGAACTTGCTTTCGATAAGAGAGCGACTAGCAATAATTTCAACCTATTGATCAAACGAGATGATTTATTGTTAATATTGATCTGGACTGACCAGTGAGTGTGGATACGAGCTCTGCGAGTGTAATGCTGAGCGGGAGGTAGAGCAGACGAGTGTTCAGCGACATTGAGTGGCGAGGGTGGCGGAAGGCTGGAGTGTGAACCCACTCGATTGGGAGCTCCTCTACTATACTGACATCGTCACCCCGCTCTACTTCCACGACCATGTGTTCACACTGCAGTAGTACCTGCACATACAATAGTGCATAATCACTATTTATACAATTTTGATAGAATTGTATGATTATCATTATTATAATTCAGAATCATTAAGCAGCGCTAGCAATTAAAAGGCATGTTTCATGCAAAGATGGTCTATTTGGAGTTACGATTGAGATTTTTCCCTATATGATCCTTACACCAGACAAAAAAAAACAAATGATCGAGATATTTTTCTAGATGATCCTGGTACGGTACTAGACATAAAACAATAGCTACCAACATACCTGAACAACCAAACTTCTGGTAAAGCCTGAAAGTGAGTGGACATAACAAAGGCCTCCGGCAGGTATATTCTTCTGCCTGGATATGAGGTTGCGAAGATGGGTGGCCAGGTGCTGGTGGTTGGTTTGGTTGTTGAGACAAGCGGCTTTTACCAGTTCAATGGTCGCTGATTCCAGAGAACTCAAGTCGACTCCTAGGCTGTTGATAGATGGCTCGCCTGAAGGAAATGACAAGTTAGAGAAGAAGTGACGCAACACATGCATTGCATACAACCCGATCAAGTAAAGTTACTTAAGCAAGAGGTTCTTCACATAATATAAACGAATTTCCATTTTCCATCAAACATATTACAAACAAAATTATGCTTGAATAGGACGGTGATGATATAATTTCTCAACCAAGACCAAATGAGTGGTGAAATGTGCGACACGACAAAATCAGTGGAGCAGAACCCTAATATTACAAATTTTCAAGTCACACTATACCATCAAGTACCGCCATCAATATAGCCCTCCATCAAGTATACCCTCAATAAGTGTGTCCATTGCACACACATATCTCCACAGAGTGGTATTGAAAATAACCGTGCATTAATTAAGAAAACTCTGACGTACCTAGAACAGTAAGAAGCGTGTTCCAGAGCAATGCACCAGGCCCTCTGCCGAGCCACTGCTGCACTTCAGGACGCCCACAAAGTTCAGCCAGCACCCGGACCACGGCGGCCACTCCTTCAATGTCCGCCGTACACACAGAAATTTTACTGAGAACGCTGCTTGCACCATTCCAATTGTGACCGCACGAGCCGTTGGCACCATTCTAAAAATGAGCAATTTGGAGCCAGATTTAAAAGATTTCTCATATAGATTCAATTAATCCCAAGGAACAATTAATTCAAAATTAGTGTTATATTCAATTACAACATATGGAGAGTAAATCAAGACTTCACTGAGGCCGTACTGTGTAAACTTTCTTGTGTACATGTAAGCGTCTCCAGTACAAGTAGCGGCCGCATTCTCGTCTATAATTAGTGGGTTTACCTTGAGAAGCCGTCATTGATTTAATGAAAGAGTTTCAAGCTCGTAGTAATTTTTTATAGTCCGGCCCCAGATCTTTACAGTAATTGAGATTACATGCACTGACCAAGTATGGAGCGGACAGTGCGGAGTGGCAAGGCAGACGAGAGGAGCATGGAGATCGCGGGGCCGGAGTGAGCAGCCGTCACGAGGCTCTGCAGTTGACTAGGATGAAGTCCAAAGACTGACACGCTGCCATTTTTGTTTGTGCCGTTGCTTCTGTTGATGAAGAAACGCTTATAATTATTGAAGAAGAATCACATACCTATAATTATTGAAGAAGAATCGCATATAGGTAATTATTGAAGAAGAAAGGCATATAATTATTGAAGAAGAAAGGCATATAATTATTGAAGAAGAAACGCATATAATTATTGAAGAAGAAACTCATTTATTATTGATGAAGAAACGCATATAATTATTGAAGAAGAAATGCATATAATTATTGAAAAAGAAACGCGTATCTTAAAGATATTTAGAAGAAATATTTAACGATTGAGACGGCGCTCCAGGTTGGCTTAGGACTGCTACGTACGAAACTCATACTAAGGATATAAAGGCATAATATACGTAATCGCTTTTCAACACAGTTCCATCGGCCGCCGAAATATCTACCAAAAGAATGTGTAAAAATGCAAGATCAGCAAAAAAGTGACAACCTACTGATCAGTATTGAAGATAGATTTGAAAAAAAAACGGGTTGTTTTTACAATCACAGTTGATAAATGGCCACATGAAATGATTGGCCTAAGTGTATTTAAAGCTCGTTATTCACATCGCAATAATCTTATCAGTAATTTTTGATATGTGACACTAGCCAATAAGATGCAATACTGTACTACATCAGAATGATTTAGAGAACACTCCTGACGTTCAGGTTAACCGTACTCGTGTAAGTCAGAGAAGACAGTGGCGAGGGTTGTGAAGTGCTGGGGCTGTACGTAGCACAGCGCGCACAGCACAGCATCCAGGGACCTCTTCAGCGCGGCGTCTGAGCTGCAGAACGCCTCGATCACAACGCTCCTGTACATACAAATAATTTACAATTACACGAAGGTGAAAAATTTAGTAATATACAAAGCGTCTGCACCTAAATGTCATGTTTTATATTCCTGCCCTTTTAAATGACGACTTCATTCTCCGTTTTAATTAATACTTATATGCCATTTACTCATATACTATATGTCTATGCCATTCCCATCTCTCTCTGCAAGGTTATGCATGGACAAGTTGATCCAAATTTGGATATTTAAATGAAAATTTCATCACAGCAATTAAAGGCATTGAGTTCAATAATTTAAAATAGAGTTTGCCGCAAATTAACTTGTGGGTCTTGCTTTTCGGCGGAAAGCAAACAGCATCAACTGTAATACAGCAATGCAGCAATATATAACCCGATGTAAAATCATGCAAAAGATAAAATAATAGTAACATAACGAGGAACTTACATGAAGAGCTGATCATTATCGCGATGTTTCAAGTGTTTTTTGTTGCTCCAGATGATAGCAGCAGCAGCATGCAGCACTTCGGCATGCATGGGCAGCGCGGTGGCAGGCAGACTGAAATGCCCGAGCTGAGCGGCCAGCCAGTACAGCAGGACGTCAGTGCCAGCCGTGCTGTCGCTGCTTGTGCACGTCGTGTACAGCAAGCGTAGCCCACAGCTCCGGTCTCCCCAATCTGAGAACAAGTCATAAATAACTAAAATTGCTGAAAAATTGATTATCATAATTAGTTGCACTGATAAATTAAATTCAATAATAACTGAACAGTTTAAGAGAGCCTCGGCAACCCACAGAAATAAGCAGAATTTATGGGCAATCGATTATAGCCAGCCAGTACAGCAGGACGTCTGTGCCAGCCGTGCTGTCGCTGCTTGTGCACGTCGTGTACAGCAAGCGTAGCCCACAGCTCCGGTCTCCCCATTCTGATGAATAAGTCATAAATAATTAGAATTTATGAGAAATTGGTCATAATAATTAGTTACACAGATAAATTAAATTGTTTAATAATTGAACAGTTTGATACAGCAAGCGTAACCCACAGCTCTGGTCTCCCCATTCTGAGAAAAAGTCATAAATTAGAATTACTGAAAAATTGATTATCATAATTAGTTGCACTGATAAATTAAATTTAATAATAACTGAACAGTTTGAGAGAGCCTCGGCAACCCACAGAAATAAGCAGAATTTATGGGCAATCGATTATTATAATCAGCTACACTGATCATTACAATGATAATCAACACAACGTTTATTTTCAATGTGAAAGAAAATCAAAATAATTTCAATCCCATAGCTAGACCCAAGTTAGTAAACTTCCACCTAAAAGTCGAGAATAATTGACGCTCGCGATGATCAAGAGGGTTACGGCGAGAAACGACCAATGTGCATATCTAAAACCAGAATAATTACTAGGAACAAAAAATTGAAAATCAAAAATTGTGCAAAAATTATTAATTGCCGTGAAAAATTTTGTTGTTCCTGGAAGAAAAGATGAACTCAAGAAGGAACACTGAACACTATAATAAACTATAAAGCAACTCACTGCGGTCAGCCAAACGCGGATGGCTAAGCATCGTGGCAACAAACTCTTCCAGCCACTCGGGGGATGAGCGGGCCACTGCCAGGACGATTTGTTCGAGGGGTGAGTTGCCAGGCGCTAGGGCACACTTGACTATTACTTCGTCTTTTGCTTGGGTTGAAGTTTTCACGCTTGTGACTTCATTCGAGTCCATTTCGTCAGGGATACTCGAGAAGCAATGTTCTGTGATGGCTTCATTAGCTGCGTCGTTGGCACTGGAATCGTTCGCCGAGGCGTTTTTGGTGGTCTTGTTCTCAGTATTTTCAGTGCGTTGCTTCAAACTGTTGGAGGTGTCTGATGGTGAAGCATTTACTGCAGGGTTGCCCACACTTATGAGCCCCGCCCAGCCACAGGAATCTGGGGAAGTCAAATAAAATACTAAACAACGAAGACAACAAAGCACATCATCTTCATCTCGAATCCACTTAGAAACTTCAAATACGTATAACACAACGACGCGAATCTTTTGAATGATATAACAGTCTATAAATTACAAAAAAAAATTACATTGAGGTAAATGGTTTATGCAATGCAATACCTGTGGAGTTAGCAGCAGCAGAAGCAAACTGAGGCGCTAAGAGCAAGCTGACGCAAGCTCTCACGGAGCCTTTGGCCTCAACGCCCTCTCGCAGGACCTCATCACGACCTGCAATTAAATAGGAAATTATTTGAACCCTCGTCCAAATGTATACTTTAACAACTATACAATCACATAGAGTTTAGAAACAATTTTACCAATGCAATTTGATCATGGTTAAATAATTTCAGAACAAATTATTTACCAATTACACAAAAAAACATGGGAGCATACATACAAATTTCATTTCTAACATGTTCAATTCTGCAAACCTATAGTATGGTGAAATTTCAAGTATTTACTGTAGGTAGAACCTACATATTGCAATTTTATGCTGAAAAAATTACCCCATGCTACCAATTTATTTTTAAACGCAAATTTAGTTATCACCCTCAAAGCTGGTTTTTGTCCACTGTAATCAAGAATACACCAGGGTTCATACCACTCGCATCCTACGCAAGTATGGTCGTACCAGGGATCATACCACCTGTCTTGCCCTACGCAAATAAGGAAATCTAAGATTACATAAATATTATGAACTGGTTGTTGGAAGTGCAATTCAAAATCCAAGAGTATGTCATGCTGAGGTTGACACCACTCATGACACTGGCCTGTAGGCTCGATGTTGATGCAGTGGCGCAGCAACAGAAGCCACCAGTCAGAGGTGCTAAAGTCTTGCTGCGTTCTAAGACTATCATGCCCCACGAAGGGCGTGTCGCATGCCGCACTCCTGAAAGCGGTGGTGCCCATGAGGCGGATCTGAGCCAGCCCTAGAGTGGCGGAATCTTTAGGTTTGTAGAGGCGTATGTTGACGACGGAGGCGATGATGGGGGAGCGCAGTGTAAGGCGGACTTGGTTGAGGATGTCCGTTGGGATGAGGCCGGTGATGGCTGAGCCGCGGCCGTCTAAACCAGCGGTCACGCTCACCGCTGATGGGTACGCTGAATACAATTCCAATAAATTAGTTAAATATTTCTGACAAATAATAATTTGTAGGTGCAAAATTATATTGTAACATATATGCTACGTGTGTTATGATATAATGTGTTACAAAATGATTACGTGTGTTATAATATTTGTGACAAATAATAATTTAGAGATGAAAAATTTACAACCATTAGATACGAAATTTAAAAGGTTGAATTCCATGTATTAATATGATATGTGTATATTCTAACAAGAAGAGAATCCGAACCATCACCTAAGTAATTGATAGGTTAACAAAAAAATCAATTCATTAAGCTAGCATTTTAATAATGGGATTAATGAAAGAGTTTCACAACTATCACTTGAATTAATTTATAGAAAAAATTCACAAAGACAATACGTGCACAATGCATTTAATGAGAAGACTCACTGCTTGGGGAAGTGTGTGGCTGTAGGAAGATCTCGTGAAGCAGAATAGGGCAAGGCAGCTTCAGGGTCAGGACGATGGACGACTCGTTGCGGTAAAAATGATGCGACCAAGATGGTGTCTAGAAAAAAATTCACGAGAATAAATCAAGAAATTGTATTCCTTTGAATTCCCATTTATAAACATATCTCTAACAGCAAAATTAATGTTTAGTCATGCGTTGAAGGTAGAAAGTTATATCGTCGACCAAGTTGACAAACCCACCAATAAAATCAATATTTATATATATGATATACCCGCTCACTCTTAGCAAGCTCGAGCCACAACAGCAGTAGCAGAATACGTAGGATTATTCTTTCCACGTTCATCCAAATGTTCATAAAAAATATTCACGTAACCAAAAATTTGCTTGAATAACAAATTAATCATGAATTCGAAAGAAAAGAAAACTGCAAGCCATGCAAAAAAATACAGATTCAAGTTTTAATCTTTTCGGTGCAAATTTGACCTTTTTATTGATAACACTCTAACCTTGAACTTTCAAAATGTTTTGTTTTCAAAGATGATATTGTTAATATACTGGGTATATAGCGTTTTTCTCTTTTAAATAACAATTACAATTGTATCAACTTACTGCAACGCAGTTTAAACAACTTGCAATAAAAAAATATTTTCTTAAATTGCGAGGGACCAGAATTACACAATTCATTGTTTCAAAGCAATCACAAAATCACTTTAATGACCAAGCAATCAATATGCTTGAATAATCAACTATTTGAATAAATGGTCAAAATGCACACCTTAGATCTCTGCATGTTCAATGACCAAGTAATCAATATGGTTGAATAATCAACTATCAACTATTTGTCAAAAGTCACACCTTAGATCTTTGTAAGTTTCATGACCAAGTAATCAATATGCTTGACTCATGAACTATTTGAATAAATGGTCAAAAGTCACACCTTAGATCTCTGAAAGTTTAATGTCCAAGTAATCAATAAGCTTGAATAATCAACTATCAACTATTCGTCAAAACTCGCACCTTGGATCTCTGCAAGAAATGAGTTGGCATGACAAGAGACTGCGGTGACCGCACGCTCTGTTGGTTGGACGTCACAAGAGCGAGTGGAGCGAAGTTGACGAGGTTTGCACTGGAGGCGCCACCTTGACTGCTACCAGCAAGGGGTGCCACGCCATTCACGTAAGGTATTGATGAAGACAAGCCTTTAGGAGGGATCACTATGTTGTTCATATTGCTCGCCATCCAAGAACCATAAGCGGAGTTCTGGTTGACGGTAGGCAGTGAGCTTGACACCACCGTGAATGGTAGATCGTAAGGGTTCTGTTGGTGGTAGACGGTACATGGCGTGCGTTCAGCGCGTTTGCCCTTAGAAGGAAGCACTGTGCATGGTGGCAACGTCGGGGATAATTGGTTCATCACCGACGATATGAGACCGCCCAGGTGCTCACTCTGAGGACTGCACGCTCGCGACACGCTCTCCGTCAGGTTCTTCCACAGAAGCTGTCGCCGAAAATAACAGGTCACATGAACAAAAGATAAGAAATAAGAAAATTTCTTCAAAAACACGATCTATATACATGATAATTTCATAATCAATCCTGGTTATTTGACTGAAATGTTTGAAACACCACCAGTGCTCAAACAGCATCCATATAATTAATACGGAAATTATTATTCAAATTTCGAAATGCACAACAATTTTGAGATTTCAATTATGCACTATCATTTCCATACACTCATGATTGATGACCCTAGGGAAAATAAGAATTAAAATTCAGGTTATTTTTACTATTGTTAACTTTACGATTGGTATTGCAAAGAGTTTTAAAAGATACCTGAATGCCTCCTATTTCAGCAAAGTGTTGCATCATCGGTTTGCAGTCGAGAATGGCACAGAAAACTCGTAGACACAGAGGAGAAAAGGTGGCCCAGCTTCTCTCTCCTTCGCCTACAATTTGGGCAAAACCTTGGTCAAAATTAAAAAATTCTACTCTTTTTTGCAAGTAGAATAAGCTTAACATTCTGAGTATGCGCATTAGTTAGGCAGAACAAATTGAGCACGCAGCACAGATATATTATTAGAAATATGAGAGCCAGGAAACGTAAGGAATATAAGAAATGTAAGGAATATAAGAAACGTACGGAATATAAGGTACGGTTTATAAGAAACGTACGGAATATAGGGTACAAAATATAAGAAACGTACAGTATATAAGAAGCGTAAGGTATATAAAGAAACGTACGGAATATAAGGTACAGAATATAAGAAACGTACGGAATACGATGAAGCTAAGCATGGGCTGCAGTAGCAGCTGGGGCTGAGCAAGGGTCCGGTTCATGCTCATGATGACGTTGAAGAGCGAGATGGCGATGGATGTTGCGGGCGCCAGAGAGCGCTGTAGCAACTCGCAGCCGTCCTGACACAAGCCCAGTGAGCGGAACAGCAGCAACACAGTGTTGCGGTTGCTCACCACTGAAATAAATATAATAATATTAGCAGGGGCAAGTTAAGATGTTAGCTCACCACTGAAATATAATAAAATTTGTAGAGGTAGGTTTTGACGTTTGCTCACCAAGAAAAAATCCTCAATAACTGAGTCATCGCACAAATAAGAGTTGTATTGAGAATGTACCCCACACAAGATAATCAACAGTCGCAGGATAATCAACAGTTACACTTCAAACTTGGTTGTAATGAAATTCAGTGAGTAGAAATTGGAGGTGTGGATATTGAAGGATATATTAAGAATATTAATTAATTTATAATTGTACAATTATTTTAAGAGCTCAGTTCTTGGCAATCCAGGCTCAGCTCTTTTTGACTGAAGCTCCTGTTTTTGTCAGTGCTTGTCGTAAATAGGCTCTCACTTCTGTCAATAAAGCCTTATTTATCGTCAATAATAGACTCAGTTCTCATCAATAAAGGCTCAGTTCTTATAAAAAAAAGACTCAATTCTTATCAATAAAGGCTCAGTTCTTATCAATGAAGGCTTAGTTCTTATCCATTAAGGCTAGTTCTTATCAATAAAGCCTCATTTGTCGTCAATAATGACTAAGTTCTTATCAATAAAGGCTCAGTTCTTATAAAAAACTCAGTTCTCATCAATAAAGGTTCAGTTCTCGTCAATAAAGGCTCAGTTCTCGTCAATAAAGGCTCAGTTCTCGTCAATAAAGGCTCAGTTCTTATCAATTAAGGCTCAGTTCTAATATACAGGGTATCCAGGCTACGGTCTACGGTCAGTGTAGGCGCACCAGTGTCGGCGAGGAGGCTAGGAGGCAGGGCGAGGCTGCGCGTGACGGTGTGATGACAGACGTCGTCTGACGGAAACGTCTCATCTGACTTCCTGTCAACGTCAGGCGTGACGGTGTGATGACAGACGTCATCTGACAGAGACGTCTCATCTGACATCCTGTCAACGTCGGGCGCCGCGTCGCCCTCGGCAGACGAGCTGGTTTGACGCTTCTGAAGAGCCTGTTGAATGATCCAATGTACCAGAGTTAATATTGTGTCGTGAGTTGATATTGTGCAATTCAATATAATTAATATAACAAAAAAAAAGCTCACAAGAATCACAAGTGATAATCCGTTTCAATACAGGAAAGTAAAAATTATTACAAAAGATTCATAGAAACGAACGATATACTTGTTGAACGATTTAATTAAGTACGTACAGAAAATAAAATTACGAAAGGCTCAGAAAATCGTTGAGGATAATAAAGTGCAGATTCAGAAAACAACAGCAGCCTGCGAAATAACTTGATGAAATTTCGTATGGAACAATGTTTTCTGAAGACGACTCTTTCATTAAATTTACTTGGCCTTCGTTTTTACAACTTTTAATATATGTTATATTGAACAAAGACTACTAAATTAATTCCCTCACCATCTTTCTTGACAGCACAACTTACTTGTGGTCCGAGATGCGTCTCGAGCAGCAGCACCACGAGAGACAAGAGACTATTGAGCAGTCGTTCTGACCACGGTCTCCCCACGACGGTGTGGTACGGTCCGTTAGGCAGGCCGCCCCATGCAGCGTCTCGTGTGATACCACCAATATTGGTACCACCACCCCCTACACCAGTGCTGGTGTTGGTGGTGGTGGTGTTGTTGGGGGTGGTGGTGTTACACACACTACCACCGTCAGTTCTGCTGCTGCCGACGCAGTTACTGCCGCTGGTGCTCACGGAGAGGCGGCTGCGCTGACTAGCGTGTAGCAGGTGACCGTGCACCACCGATGCTGCAACACACGATTGCCGTTATCCGCTATATCAACAACACAAATATCGATTGAACAATAATCACCAATACTGTTCTATACTAACAATCACAAATACCCTTTGACCAATCATCACATATATCACGTAACCAAAAAAGGAGTAAACAATCAAAAAGCAGCGCATGAAATACCTATCATTTATTTTAGCATCAAAACAATAAAAACAAGGTACAGCTGTATAAACGCTATGAATTGTATACTAAGAAGCAGTTTTTGTTCACTTGGTTTTTATGAAAACTAGAAATACCCGAAGTAATTTTCATGTACTATAAACCAACGGAAATTTTGAGGATATTTGATTTAGTTAACTTACCGGTTTTGTTGACAATCTCAAGCATGAGATTGATCTCCTGGAAGCCTGCGAAGGGAAGCTTGGCCAGATGACGAACCAAGACGCACTGGGCGTCCTGAGCGCCCACGCCGCCTTCTACAGCACCTACACGTAGCAGACGTGCTACCACCTCCAGCAGCGTCGCCTTCAGCTGTCACAACACAAGCTTTATTTGTTCAGGAAAATAATTATTAAAGGCGCGCTACCACCTGCAGCAACGTCGCCTTCAGCTGTCACAACACAAGCTTTATTTGTTCAGGAAAATAATTATTAAAGGCGCGCTACCACCTGCAGCAGCGTCGCCTTCAGCTGCCAAAAGACGAGCTTACTTTATTAGATACAATTTATCCGGGAAAATAATTATTAATAATACGTTTATTTTTAGTTTCTCTTTAACTTATGCGCTTATAATAGGGAAACTTCGAAATTTTGATTAAATCTAATGAAATAGCTTGATTTATAATCTAAATTCTCGTAATATTCTCATGTTTTTAAAGTGGTCAAATATGTTTTAACGAGGGAACACAATTACCGTATCAGTACAGGACGGACTGTTCTCGTGCATTAAAATATCAAGGACTAGGCGGCGCGGGCAGTTTAAATTTATTATAAATTTTACTTAAATTCTTTCCTAAGAAGATACCTTATTGCCCGAGTCGCTGCTGGGCGAGAAACAGTTGCTGCCGATGCTCAGGCGCACCAGCAGGTTGTGGAAGAACATAGACACACTACCACCTCCAGTAGCGTCGCCTTCAGCTGTTACAACACAAGCTTAATTTATTCGATCCAATTTATTCAGCCAAATAACTATCAATAGGTACATATACTTTTAGTTTAATTTTCTTATTTGCTAATAATAGAGGGAAATTTCGAGGTTCTAATTAAATCCAATGAAATGGCTGGATCCATAATGTGAATTATTGTAATATTCTCGTGTTTTTAAAGCAGTAAAATACGTTTTAATGAAGTGACAACATTATCAGTACAGGACGGACGGTTCTCGTTGTGCATTAAAATATATCAAAAACTAAGCGGCGAGGGTAGTTTAAATTTAGTTAAATTTTGGCGGCGCGGGTTTTGAAATATTAGAATATTTATTTTAAATTTGGAATTAAATCCCTTTTTAGAAGATACCTTATTGCCCGAGTCGCTGCTGGGCGAGAAACAGTTGCTGCCGATGCTCAGGCGCACCAGCAGGTTGTGGAAGAACATAGACACGGTGCTGCCAACCTGATATGTATATACAAGTAAATATTTACTACCTCTAGTAAAATGTAATTCAATGTAATCAAGTTAATTATAATAAAACCAACGGACTGACTTGTGATCTATACATGGTACCAATTTTGAAATTCCGGGGTATCTGAAAACTCTATTGTGATCATTTCCAATCGTATATTCATCACAGATACCTAGTATCAGCAAATAAAATGAATACTATTCATGGCTTACATAAAAGCTCGAGGATTTCTAGTAAGCAAAAACTACCACTAAATACAACTAACCAAGACTGGAGCGCTGGCAGTAGAAAGAGACTCGCAGTTCGCGAAATTCGTAGTTAAGAAAAGCACCAACACTGGCACCAGATTAGCATCCTCCAATAGTAGTAAAAATGTTGTACCGTCCTGTGAGAAGGTAAGGTTATGTTTCAATCCAGTCAAATATGTGACATGCTCAAGAAGAATATTATAATTGTCTATTATAATTATAATTGTCTTATAATTCACACCGTTCTGTGTGAAGGTAAGGTTATGTTTCACTCCAGTGAAATATGTGACAAGCTCAAGGAGAATATGGGACTTGGCTAACAATATCGCTGGATAAGATATAATTTTTTTCATTAGACTGAAAATTTTATTAGCAGAATGTCTTCATTCAAATCCTTTTTTTAGTAATTTTCTTCATTAAAAATTATTTAGTAATTATCTCCATTGCAATTTTCGTTAGTAATTTTCTTCGTTAAAAATTTCTTTTAGCAATTTTCTTTATTAAAAATTTTTCTCTTGTAATTTCCTTTATTAAAAATTTTTTAGCAATTATCTCCATTAAATNGAGACTCGCAGTTCGCGAAATTCGTAGTTAAGAAAAGCACCAACACTGGCACCAGATTAGCATCCTCCAATAGTGGCAAAAATGTTGTACCGTCCTGTGTGAAGGTAAGGTTATGTTTTACTCGTGTGAAATATGTGACAAGCTCAAGAAGAATATTATAATTGTCTATTATAATTATAATTTTAATTTAATTGTCTTATAATTCACACCGTCCTGTGTGAAGGTAAGGTTATGTTTCACTCCAGTGAAAAATATGACATACCCAAGAAGAATATTATAATTGTCTATTATAATTATAATTTTAATTTAATTGTCTTATAATTCACACCATCCTGTGTGAAGGTAAGGTTATGTTTCACTCCAGTCAAATATGTGACATGCTCGAGAAGAATATAGGACTTTGCTAATGATATCACTGGACAAGATGTTTTTTCCATTAGACGAAATATTTCATTAGAAAAATTTCTTCAATACACATTTTTTTCGTAAATGTCTAGTTATTAAAAATTTTTTAGTGATTTTCATGTTCAAAAATTTTTTTAGTAAGTATTTATCTCCATTACAATTTTTTTTAGTAATTTTCTCCATAAATTTTTTTTTTTTGTGATTTGTTATATTAAAAATTTTTTTATCGATCTTCTTCATTGGAAATTTTTTCAAGTAATAATTGTGGATTTGAGTAGGAACACTCACGGCAGACGAGTAGGAAGAGTTGCAGCTGAGCGTGAGCAGCTGTAGCACCAGAACCCAACACTTCAAGCTCACTGTAGACCCACTGTAAACATACGTTTAATAACTGTAGACCCACTGTAAACATACGTTTATTAATAACAAAAATAGCTAATGATTTTACGGAAATTTGATTAGAGTATTCAGCGACGTAGCGGGCAAATTGACATTCATGTCTGACATGTGCAATGACAAACTTCAAGTAAACAGACCAGCGTACGATATAACACTTAATAACAATAATAATAATAATAATAATAAATAATAATATTAACACTACTAATAATAATGATAGTAATAAGAAAACAAAGCAAATAATAATAATAATATTAATAATAATAATAAGAGTAACCAAACCAAAGGAGATATTTGACGCGTCTAACCAGTTGATGAGAGCCTTGAGCAAGGCGCTGATGGCGCTGGGGGAGAGTGGTAGCTGAGGGACCAGCGAGCTGATGGCCTTGTCCTGCTGGTCCTCACACTGCACCACCAGGGCGAACCACAGCCCTACCACAGCCTCCACACACTCACTCGCGCACCACTCCTGCACCACAACCGATGCTTCAAATAATGCTTCTATTGATACTTGGTGCAGAAAATATTTGTAACCAAAATTTAAATTGAGATCAATATGCTGTTACGAGTTAATATACTAAATACATATAACGTCAATGACAGACAAATATGATTTGCACAGGGTTTCTAACAACAATTTAGAAAGCGTTCTGTGTTAATTGATTTAAATTCTGCGCGTTGCAGCCCCAGGCCACACTGTCATTCTTTCTGGTAATTCTGAATCTCATTAATCATGTAATGCAAAAATACACGATTGAATTGTCACAATGACCATGCCCTACCTTTGAAATCAATCACAATGAGCACGTGAATATAACAAGAAGATTATAACATATAAAATATATATAGCAGGTATAATATAATAAGTATAACTATACCTACTATAATAATATATTAGGTATAACACAATAACAAGACCTGGACAGAGATAGCAGCGAAGAGCTCATCAAAGGTGCGGGAGAGAAGCGCTATATAGCAGGTATAATATAATTAGTATAAGTATACCTACTATAATAATATGGCAGGTATAATATAAGTATAAGTTTACCCATTATAACAATATATTAAGTATAATATAATAACAAGACCTGGACAGAGATGGCAGCGAAGAGCTCATCAAAGGTGCGGGAGAGCAGCGCTATGCTCTCCGTGACGTCACCTGGGCCGCAGGCAGGGGGGCGCTCGCTTGACTCTGAGCGACTCTGTAGAAATTACATGTTTCAAGTGGTAGCATAAATCTTTAGTACTTAAAAAGATTCAACGCCAAAATTCGAATATATATATGATGAGCTGACTACCTACTTTGACAAAGTGCAAGGAACCCCCCAGTTTAATTTCAAAATTTACTCAAACACTAATACACGCATATCCCTATACGCACACTTAGCGGCTGATTTCCCATCTCTGATTGGTGGGTCTAGCTTGAATTACCTACCATCAGTGATCGGCTAATAGACTTAAAAACCCTTTAACTTTTTTGTAGAATGAATGTCCTCTGAACCTTATACTCACAAGAGCAGGTGTAACAACAGCAGCATGCAGTGTGAAGTTGTGCGAATGATATGCTAATAAATGTATAAGTATATGTATAAGTAATGTAATGTAATGTAAATGTACAAGTACCTAATGTATAAGTATAAGTAACATTAGACTCACAGGAGCAGGTGTAGCAGCAGCAGCAGCATGCAGTGTGGAGGTATGCGTGGCGCTAAGCATGGCCAGTCGCAGCTCAGGCAGCAGCTGAGGCTTGGTCAGCAGACGGTGGTCAACCGCAGTGCTCTGCAGCATGCCTGAGCGCAGAGCGTCGCTTCTCCTGCGTTGTCATCATAAAATACACTCACATATCTTATAGAAGATTGCTAAATACATTTAGATAGGCCATTAAGTTATTCTCCTGCGTTATCATAAAATACACTCACATATCTTATAGAATATAATTAAATATTAAATACACTTAGATTAGCCATTATGGCAGAGCGTCGCTTCTCCTGCGTTATCATCATAAATAAACTCAGATATCGTGTTTAGGATTAATAAATATACTTAGATTGGCCATTAAGTAATCATAAGATCAAGTCAGATGTCGTCTTGAAGATTATTGAATACACTTAGACTAGTCATTAAGTAATCATAAGATCAATTCGGATATTGTCTTGAAGATTATTAACCGTTACCCGATTTATTACAGCAGCCTAAGAATACAGATACAAGATTGACACCTGATTTGAAATTAATTGATGAAATATGCAATATTTAATTTTTTGCAACTTATTATACGACAATAATGGAAATACGCCAGGAAATGTAGTATTTGATACAAGAGAAAGACCTGGCGACGTTATAATGCTGAACTGAACGCTCTCTGGGGATGTCACAAGGAATTAAAGAGCAACTGAAAATTTGCAACAAAGCTGTGAATTGCTAGACATTATAACGATGTCGCAGGTGCTAGGACAAAGGAATGATCAACCTGCTCATGTCTCCTGGAGATGATCAAAAGATTGTGCATGAGACAAAAATGATCAGGACTATGAGCGACAAATATGACCAGCAGAAAATGTCACCCAAGACTATGGGTGACGAATATGACAAGCAGAAAAATATGATCAAGACTCTTGAAGATGATCAAAGGATTTTGCATGCAGACAAAAATGATCAGGACTATGAGTGCCAACACAAAGTCGTACAGCTCGAGTCCTCAAGTTCAAGGCAAAATAAGTTCGACACGAAATAATCAACGAAAAATTACTCACATGTCGTCCTTGATAAAGTGCAACCAATAGTATACATGCAGTTCGACACGAAAGAATCAACAAAAAATTACTAATATGATGAAGCGCAACCAATTGTACATGCAAACCAAAAGTAAAATAAAGTTGATGAACAGTGCGGGGATTCTTTTAAGAGCGACAGAATAGCATGCAAATTAAACAAAAAATGCACTGTATTAATATAATCAAACTCTAGGCAAAAAACTTAATACCGAGAGATGGACAACAAACAATGAATACAACGGATGACAATAACAAACAAAATATTTTTTAGCCACCTGTTCATTCACTTTCCTTGATCTAGCTCAAATTTGCATTCAATACCTTATATATAATACCTAATGCATTATAGTGCTGGTAACTATGATAATGTACGATAGTGCTGGTAACTATGATAATGCACGATAGTGCTGGTAACTATGATAATGTACGATAGTGCTGGTAACTATGATAATGCACGATAGTGCTGGTAACTATGATAATGTACGATAGTGCTGGTAACTATGATAATGTACGATAGTGCTGGTAACTATGATAATGTACGATAGTGCTGGTAACTATGATAATGTACGATAGTGCTGGTAACTATGATAATGTACGATAGTGCTGGTAACTATGATAATGTACGATAGTGCTGGTAACTATGATAATGTACGATAGTGCTGNACTGAACAAGTGAAACTTCTTGTCACAACTGAACAAGTGAAACTTCTTGTCACAACTGAACAAGTGAAACTTCTTGTCACAACTGAACAAGTGAAACTTCTTGTCACAACTGAACAAGTGAAACTTCTTGTCACAACTGAACAAGTGAAACTTCTTGTCACAACTGAACAAGTGAAACTTCTTGTCACAACTGAACAAGTGAAACTTCTTGTCACAACTGAACAAGTGAAACTTCTTGTCACAACTGAACAAGTGAAACTTCTTGTCACAACTGAACAAGTGAAACTTCTTGTCACAACTGAACAAGTGAAACTTCTTGTCACAACTGAACAAGTGAAACTTCTTGTCACAACTGAACAAGTGAAACTTCTTGTCACAACTGAACAAGTGAAACTTCTTGTCACAACTGAACAAGTGAAACTTCATGTCACAACCGAACAAGTGAAACTTCTTGTCACAACTGTACAAGTGAAACTTCTTGTCACAACCGAACAAGTGAAACTTCTTGTCACAACTGAACAAGTGAAATTTCTTGTCAAACTGAACAAGATAAACTTCTTGTCACAACTGAACTAAACAAGTGAAACTTCTTGTCACAACTGAACAAGATAAATTTCTTGTCACAACTGAAAAAATGAAACTTCTTGTCACAACTGAACTGAACAAGTGAAACTTCTTGTCACAACTGAACTGAACAAGTGAAAATTCTTGTCACAACTGAACAAGTGAAAATTCTTGTCACAACTGAACAAGTCAAACTTCTTGTCACAACTGAACAAGTGAAACTTCTTGTCACAACTGAACGAGAGAAACTTCTTGTCACAACTGAAAAAAATGAAACTTCTTGTCACAACTGAACTGAACAAGTGAAACTTCTTGTCACATCTGAACAAGTGAAACTTCTTGTCACAACTGAACGAGAGAAACTTCTTGTCACAACTGAACGAGAGAAACTTCTTGTCACAACTGAACAAGTGAAACTTCTTGTCACAACTGAACAAGTGAAACTTCTTGTCACAACTGAACAAGTGAAACTTCTTGTCACAACTGAACAAGTGAAACCTCTTGTCACAACTGAACAAGTGAAACTTCTTGTCACAACTGAACAAGTGAAACTTCTTGTCACAACTGAACAAGAGAAACTTCTTGTCGCAACTGAACAAGTGAAACTTATTGTCACAACTGAACAAATTTGACCCACCCAATTAAATTCTCTCCTCGAACTGATACAAGGAAGCTGGCCCAAATTTATACAACAACCAGATGTTAGTAAACGATGGTTAGGAAGAAGCATGAATGAGCGAATAAGCAATAAGTGAATAGTTCGATGTTAATAGATACAAGATCACCAAAAGGGCAATAAAAAACATCTATACCAACTCTTACGCACAACGAGAATTTATAATAAAGTTCGAGATATCGTCCCTGTATTGAGAAACGATAAAATCGAGATGTAGCTCATTCTTTACTACACAAGTAAATAATCCATTATCTAGATTTTTTTTCTGCGAAGAAAACAAAAATTGTGTTGTTTTTCATACTATTGTTCATATATTGAAATCTACCTTAAAGAATTCCCAAGTATTTCGGTATTATAAAAAGTCTAGAAGGGAAAGTGAATCTATACGTGTTTTTCAATGAAGTTGTTTGATCCGCCAGTAAAAATGAAGGGGCTTGGGAGTTTAGCCCTTCATGTAAGCTTTCAAGTTGGAAGATTTCCAAGATTTCGTATCATAATTACAGTTAAATATCAAAGCAAACATGAAGTTAAGTATTAAAAGCAGCATGATTTCCGACGCAATAGTATAGTCGGATCACTTCGATGATAAATTGGATGAGCCTGGAAGCAAGGAAAACTTGACTTAGTAATCGCCAACATGTATAGCTGGTCCAATTTACCAGGCTACGTGTACACGAAGAAAATACAGTGAATTTTCAATTGATTTTTACCAGAAAATCCTATAAAATTTTCTAGTACATGTGCGTAATTAGTATAGTATATGTATTACATAAATTACTCACTCCGTGGAACTGAGATAGGGTTGAAATTTATAGCACATGTGAGTAATTAATACATGTGTAATATATATTACTCACACAACAGACCTATGTTAATGATGCAATTTTATGACATATTTAATAAATTACTATAATATATGTAATAGATATACTACTCACTCCGTTGAACTGAGATAGTAATGTAATTTTACAGCATATTTGAATAAGTAATAAGGTATGTGTGATAGATAGAGATATTACTCACTGCATAGACCTATGATGAGGATGTAATTTTACAGCATGGGTATTTGATAAAATATTAAGATATTTGTAATAGATATACACTACTCACTCCATGGAGCTGAGATAAGGATCGACGATGAGATCGTTGTCACCAGACTCCGAGTTGAAGAGGATGACAATTTTCTGCATTTGTTCTTTAGTGTCGGGACTTGTGCCCAAGTCTGCCAAGCCTGTGTTGAAGAAAATCATTCTAATCAAGTAACATTTACACTTGACATGTATGACCGCATTAATAGATTATTCAGCGTCGCCGTCTGTCAAGCCTGTGTTGAATAAAACCATTCTAATCAATTAACATTCACATTTGACACTTATGACCGCATAAACAGATTATTCAGAGTATCCTTCAAACGCGTTCAGAATTGTTATATAGAGTAACCAAAACTACTTTGACCGTTTCACAATTTATGTCGAAGATATCAGATTGATGATTCAAGAAATTGATACTCTGCATGTCCAAGAAGTACCAATAATTTTTAATACCATTGATTGAGCAAAAAGAATTGAATATTGCAGTGATTAAATGAGATTGAACAAAAATTCTAGTAGTTTCCAACTTAAATCGTTCTAAAAATCATTTAGTTGATTTTAAGAATTAAAATGAAAGTAGCCGGTCACTATTTTCCCGTTTTCACTTACAACGTGCGCGAACAGTTCTAATAAATAAGATACCCCCGAGCAGTTCTCACCAGCTCCAACAGTTCTCACCAGCTACAACAGTTCTCACCAGGTCCAACAGTTCTCACCAGCTCCAACAGTTCTCACCAGCCCCAACAGTTCTCACCAGCTACAACAGTTCTCACCAGCCCCAACAGTTCTCACCAGCTACAACAGTTCTCACCAGCTCCAACAGTTCTCACCAGTTCCAACAGTTCTCACCAGCTACAACAGTTCTCACCAGCTACAACAGTTCTCACCAGCTACAACAGTTCTCACCAGTTCCAACAGTTCTCACCAGCTACAACAGTTCTCACCAGTTCCAACAGTTCTCACCAGCTACAACAGTTCTCACCAGCTACAACAGTTCTCACCAGCTACAACAGTTCTCACCAGCCCCAACAGTTCTCACCAGCTCCAACAGTTCTCACCAGTTCCAACAGTTCTCACCAGCTACAACAGTTCTCACCAGCCCCAACAGTTCTCACCAGTTCCAACAGTTCTCACCAGCCCCAACAGTTCTCACCAGCTCCAACAGTTCTCACCAGCCCCAACAGTTCTCACCAGCTACAACAGTTCTCACCAGCATCAGGCTCCTCTTCGTCGCCTGTATCCTCGTCATCGCCAGTTTCTGAGCTGCTTATGACGAAGTCATCGTCATCGTCTACATGAGTTTTGGCTCGAGAAGCAGAGCCGCTCCCACCCTGGCCTTCTTCAGTAGACGACACGAGAGTGTCCCCAGAGTCAGACGCATCGCCTGGAGTGTCGTCCTTTGCGTGAGCGCGGGATGACATCCTGTTTGACTTGTATTTTTTGCAGGGATGTTTATCCTTCTTACCGCTGCTTGTCATCGGGGTGTTATCGGTCTGGTCGTGAGAATGTGTGGCTTCATCTTTTTTCTTCAATGATCCAAAATGCTTTTCTCCTGTTGAACAAAACAGTTGGTTGTCAATACTATGGGGAAATAATTCTGTTAGAAGATGTTCAGAAAGAAAATCTTCCTACATCCCTAGAGTATGAATCTTTAATGGTCAAGTGGTGTCCACCCGTTGATTGGGCAGCATATTCCGTAAAAATATGGACGTATGTTTAAATGCACAATTTGCTTCAGACCGTCGATTGATTTTGTTAAAATACGAATGAATCTCTACACTACAAATATTTGAATGTTGTTGCAGTAAAATAATCTTATTTCACCGCGGATTGGTTACATTTTTTAGAATAAGATTAGTCTCTACATTTCGAAAGTTTAGGTCAAGTTCCAATATCAAAATCGTCCCTGGCTGTTGACAGGCTACATTTATTCAGGACAGGAACAATCTCTGCACGGCGAATTTAGTTGAGAAACAAAATAATTCAGTGACATTATTGCTTTGATGTCACATTTTCATCCCACACATTCCAAAATACTTGAAAGCATTTTACTAAGGAGTCTCAGCATTTCGAATGTGTGGAAAATTAATTAATAAATTTTCCGCATGGATTTGCAGAGCGAATCATTTAATGCTCACCAGTGAATCATTTGAATGATTCGCAGGGCGAATCATTCAATTTAATATTAAATGATTCGCTCATTTAATATAAAATTATTTTTTTAATCATTAAGATGACGAAATGTTGACTTACCGTTGAGGAGGTCAGTGATGAGGCAGACGAAAGCGTGCAGGTTCCACGGCAGGGCAGAGGTGTGTGTGTTTAATAATAGTAATTGTTTTGTAATCATTAAGATGACAAAATGTTGACTAACCGTTGAGGAGGTCAGTGATGAGGCAGACAAGAGCGTGCAGGTTCCAGGGCAGGGCAGAGGTGTGTGGGGCGCAGCACTGTCGCTGCAGGAGCAGCAGCAGCTGCTGGTCACCGAACACGTCGCGGACACCCAAGCTCGGCCGTACTGACGAGCACACCACACCCACAACCTGTACACAAGTCATTATTATAAACTACGTCTTCATTATTATTAAATAATAAAGTACGTGTTCATTATTATTAATAAAGTACGTGTTCATTATTATTAAATAAAGTACGTGTTCATTATTATTACACGGAAGTAAGTGTTCATTATTATTATATAAAGTACGTGTTCATTATTATTATATGAGGTAGGTGTTCATTATATTATTAGGTACGTGTTCATTATTACTATATATAGTAGCTTTTTATTAGTAGGTGTTCATTATTACACTGTTAGAAAAATTCCCGTTAACGGTATTACCGGCGTTTCAGTGGCCGGTCGGCACGTGAAAAGAAACACCGTGTCGCCGTTTTTATTCTAATTTAACACTAAAAATCCGTAAAAAATCTGATAAAAACGACGAAACAGTTTATTTTCACGGGGCGACCGGCCACTAGAACGCCAGTGGGACCATTTTTTCACCGTTTTTTCTAACATTGTATTATATGAAGTACGTGTTCATTATTACAGAAGAGATTATTATATTTATTATTATTACATTATTATAGACTTGATTACTTGAGAGAAGCTAATCACTTAATCACATTAGGTATGTGTTATTGAGTGAATGCTTTGATTTCACACTCAATTCCAATACAATGGTAGAATACGTTCCCTTACATGTATGACTTATTTTTATTCCACGACTTTTTGAAGAAGAAGCAAATGGCTAATAAAACCCAATTTTCACATAATGCAAACGAATGAAAGTGAAAGAATTGTTTTGCTGTAGCACCCAAGCTAGGCGGCTTCAGGTTTACCGCCTATCACGTAACGTGTTAATGATCCATAGTTTCACTAAATGTTTCACTTAGTAAATAAAAATAAATGTTCATAGAAATCTATTTTAAAATAATTCCTCGGGTTAGGCCGTTTCTGTGAACGCCGGAAATAGTAAAGAGGTCGAATTTTAGCCCAGTCAAATCGGTCGCCAGATCGTACCAACTTCGTTTATGAAATAATACGCTTAGAATGAAATTCTAGAGAACAACAAATGAGATGAAATGTGAACGTTAGGCAGGAATTTCAGCTGCAGAGCTAAATGTATCGTCGGGATGGGGTTTGATGATAATACGAGTATCATCGCAATAAATAAAAATAATTTTCATCACGAAGATAATTCCTAGTTTATCTCTTTATATCACTAATGGTCGTAGGAAAAAGACTATCCAATAACCACCAACAGGTGGTTAGTGTCAGGTAAATGACTATCCAATAACCACCAACAGTTGGTTAGTGTCAGGTAAATGACTATCCACTAACCACCAACAGGTGGTTAGTGTCAGGTAAATGACTATCCAATAACCACCAACAGTAGGTTAGTGTCAGGTAAATGACTATCCAATAACCACCAACAGTAGGTTAGTGTAAGAGACACCAACGAGCGCACCACAGCGAGAGCCGTCGGGCGGTCCAGCAGCGGCACGGAACTTTCTTCTGCGTCGTCACCACCAACAGCGCCTGTTGGGGCGGGGGATATTAGAACACAACAGCAGCGTTGACAAAACAAGCCATTTTAACCTAAAAAGGTAATATTCAATCAAATACTCTTTCAAGGCGTTAATACAAGATATTATCAAATAATAATTGTAAACAAATACCGGGAGCTAACCAGACTTGGCAGCCGCCATCTTCGAGATGGACATTATTAATCATAAATTTTGTAAAATAATATATGTATAAAATACCCGGAAATAACCAGCTTTGGCAGCCGCCATCTTTGAGACATACGATGAATCAAAAATCTAATAAAATAGTAAATGCAAAAAAAATACCCGTAACTAACCAGCCTTGGCAGCTGCCATCTTCGAGACGGACATGACGAAAGAGCGAGGAGCATCAGAGTCCCGCATGGCCTGAATCCTGCGACATAACTGAGGATAGTTCGACTGTTGCTGCTTGCTGCTCTCTCTCTTCAGCTTGAGCAGCATCGTTGAGTACTCTTTCCTCTGCAGCTTTGTTCGCATCAAGTAATCAGACCACTGCACATAGAGCAAGTACTGAGTCATCGATGAGGTTATATCTGTCAATGCCTGATCAAACCACAATAATATATATTACTGCCCATATACATCAAGAGTGCATCCACATATTATAATCATGTTTAACAGTTATTAAAAATATTATATTCGTCTGCCACCAACACAACCCTAAATCCTAGCTGCCACCAACAGAACCCAATGCCTCGCTGCCACCAACACAACCCTAAGCACACACCTCCCACTAAGTAGTTTTCAGTCCATGCAAGTCCCACTAAGTAGTTTTCAGCCCACGCAAGTCCCACTAAGTAGTTTTCAGCCCACGCAAGTCCCACTAAGTAGTTCCAGACCACGCAAGCCCACCTTATTAGCCGACTTGTCAGCGTTGGTTTTAGCGGCGGTGGACTTGGCGGCTTTGTTCTTGGCGGCGTCGGCGGCGGCGAGGATGGAGCTCGGCGAGGCCTGGTAGAGGCGGCGGCGGTGGTGGTACTTAGTTGTCGGGCAGCGACGGGAGCCCCACACGTCGCCCGACAACCACGACTCGGCACACAGCCACGACCACCGGCCTCCTGTGTGCACATGAGCGTTACAATGAACATGACACGGCACACAGCCACGACCACCGGCCTCCTGTGTGCACATGAGCCTTACAATGAAGTGAATGAACATGACTCGGCACACAGCCACGACCACCGGCCTCCTGTGCGCACATGAGCCTTACAATGAACAATGAATAAATGTTGAAATGATACTGACAAAAATAGTACGTAACTGTCTGTAATAATTTTTTCAATAACTACAGAGGCAATGCTTAGATGATGCTGATAGCAGCATTCCAAGACCATTCAGATGAATGTTCTGAATTGAATGGCATGATCTAAGAAGTAATTTGATCTCGAAAGAAATTAAACACAAGATTGCAGACTTCAATTTACGAAAGCATTAATAAAACAAAAAAAACAGTCTAGGACAGCAAAGGTTAGCCACATAGTACCTACACTAATTTCAGTAGAACTAAGCCGTGGCTGATTAATGTAAATCAATGATATGTTCATTGAGAACGCGTTGGAGACAAGCTCCACCATCAGTTCAGAAATTTAGCAAAGAAAGCAATGAACATGAAGGACGTGACGAAGTCTCAGTCAAAGTTGTAGTGAATTAGGTTGTAAGTTGTAGTCAAAGTTGTAGTGAATTAGGTTGTAAGTTGTAGTGAATTAGGCACCTGCTTCAGTGATTTTCTCATCGTAGGGTTTGGCATAGGGTAGAGCATCCAGGCAGTGCGAGAGGTAGAGCAGCAGCCACTCTACCACCTGAGACTTGCCACTTGCCATACCAGTGGCACCGCTGCCACATGGCACACCAGTGGCACCATCCTCCGATGCAATGTTAGCCACACTGGCGAAAAGCGCCTCGAATTTGGCATTGCTTTTGACGTCATTGCAAGCTTGAATTTTCTTGTCAGTGTCAGTAGATTTTTTCATTTTGTCCCTCGCTGCAGGTTCCAAGAGGCTACTGCTTTCAGAAACAGATTTATCAATGGAAATTTCCTGCCCTGTAACAACACCGCTGGCAGAGGCAGTGTTCTGCTGCTCTGAAAATTTTCTGGACTGCTCTGAGATTTCGGAGTCACTAGTCGCTGGCGGCAAGAGTTTAGAGAGCGCCAACAGCACCGAGTTTATAACAGTGCTGCCTTTGCCGCTACAGACACTCCTTTGCCCCAAGACGGTCAGGAGGCCGAACATCCTGATGAAAAAAATGAACAGTGCTGCCTTTGCCGCTACAGACACTCCTTTGCCCCAAGACGGTCAGTAGGCCGAACATCCTGATGAAAAAAATGGCAAAATCAAGGAATTTGAAAGTAAAGAGAAGGCTAAGTACATTGACCATATCTATATTGAAAACGTTTCGGAGTCCAGCTAAATCGTCAATTTGAAAAATCTTCTAGAAATAATGGAAACAATCATTACAATTCAAATGAGTCCTATTCTGCAGCATAGATATATGCAGGTCATAAATGCATCACTTGAGTGTAAATAAATAATGAAATTGCCGAAAATCTGGAAAGAATTTTCCAAATTAACGATGTTCGGAAAAAGAAACCGAATATTCTGTTAGACAAGGGCCGTAATAGAGCTGGTGATGAATTATCTATTTTGTGCATATAATTTACTGATATTGAGAGAGGACTGCGAGAAAATTAATAAATGAACTATGCTTGAAAAAAATAAATTTATAAAACATAGGCTCAGTGATACGAGCCAAATTAATCGACTCTTTACAAGATCTTTCAGTAGTCGTATCAATTATCAGATAATAATGAAACAAGAGGCACTACTGCTTCATTATTTGGATTAAGGAATAAGATATTTTTCCTCACTACTAAGAAATCAGTGGTACGGAAAGTTAGAAATATATCCTTCACATATAATAAATATATCCTTCATTTCGGTTCTTTCTGTTTCAGTTCAGTGAGAGTATTTAGGTCTCTCGTGTAGTAATTTCAATTATTTTTTTAGTTCAATAGACTACAAGTGATAAATTTGCGGAGAAAAGGCAAAGCAGACACTTCATATTTTATAGACTTCACTATATGTTAGGCTAGGTGCTATCTAACATTTGTAATTGATATTTTTATTTATTTCCTATACAAATGTGTGCAGTATACGCACAGAGCTTTCTTATAATTTCTGCACATACATGCAACATAAACACGAAATTTGTTATTACAAACTTAGTTTATATAAACAGAAGTTTAGCTTTGAAATTTTCTTTTAATAAAGAGAAATTTTTCCTTATAAATTTGCATAAATAAAATACAATATTATAATAAATAATAAAATATTAATATTAAGTATTATTAATAAATACCGTAATAAAATATTTCTTTTGTTCTGAAAAGTGGTTTGAGTAACCATAAATGATGTTATTATAGAAAGAGTATAAGCAGACCTGACAGCAGGCAGGCGGTGGGCGTTACCACTGAAGAGGTCCTGCAGCGCCCCCGTCAGGAAGTCCCCCCACCAAGGCGCCGTCACGCACGTACGCAGCAGACATGCTCATTAAAGTATCGAGATAGCAAGGATTTCTATATTAAATAGAATAACGGACATTCTCATTAAAGTATCAAGATAACAAAGCTTTCTACATAAACAGAACAACGCACAAGCTCATTAAAGTCTCAAGATAGCAAAGATTTCTACTTAAAATCGAATAACACACACGTGCTCATTAAAGTCTTGAGATAGTTAAGATTTTTATCTATAACAGTATAAAGTAATGAGTACAACTAAATATCTAAAACAGTTTGTTAAGAGTAATGCCGTTCTTATTGAGAACTGCTAGTATAGAGTTTGTCTTTAGCTCTCTAGTAATAGGTACAAGCTCTGAATAAATATAGTATTCTTTTTGACCAAACTTGTCTAAGTGCAAGTCTAGAAATATAACTAAAACATTTTAAAGCAAACGGTAAAGCTTCATACATAGAACAGGAGAACACACCTGCTCAGTAGAGTATTAAGATAGTAAAATTTCATACAAAAAACAGTAAAAAAAGATAACTGTGAAGCTTCATACATGATTGCTTCCGACATTAAACGTCAACAATGATACCTTAGCAAAACATTTTTTTATGAAGAATTACAAAGTAAAGAAAACTTCAAGTAATTCACCACATCTTCATCGAAAGATAAAGATATCTTGCCAATACTTTGCGTTACTCAGCCTTTATAATATGATAAATATAACTATTTAAATGTAATTGATTATTGTAATTAATTGTACAAGTATTATAATAAACAATTATTTAAATGCAATTCATTATTGTGATTTATTGTACATGTAATATAATAAACAATTATTTAAAAGTAAATAATTGTACAAGTAATATAATCATTTAAATGCAATTAATTATTGTAATTAATTGTAAAAGTCCTATAATAAATATAATAATTTATATGTAATTAATTATTGTAATTAATTTTACATGTAATATAATAAAAAATTATTTAAATGTAATTAATTGTACAAGTAATATAATATATATAACCATCTAAATGTAATTAATTATTGTAATTAAATGTAAAAGACCTATAGTAAATAGAATAATTTGAATGTAATTAATTACTGAAATAATTGTACAATACAATAAACAATCATTCAACTGTAATTATAGTACAGTCTACCTGCGCGGACACAGGACCGCGGACCATGACGCTGCGGAAGAGGGCGCGCGCTGAGGCAGATCCGCAGTAAGACAGCAGCGTGCTAGGCAGCTGTGGGTAGGGTAATGTTACCGGTTACCTGGGTAACTATGGTGGGTATTGGGGGTAACTTTGATCAATATTCATTGTAATATTCGTCAGTATCAAGGGGTAACTTTGATCAATATTGATTGTAATATTCGTCAGTGTCGAGGGGTAACTTTGGTCAGCGTTGGAGTAACTATGACAAAAGAATTTTAGAAACCATGACTTTTGAATAGCCGAGAGTTGACAAATTTTAGATCGCAGATTCAAGGTAAGTATCTCAACAGAACTATACGACACTCACTGAACTAGGAGGTATAGTCCCAGCGAGTGGATGTAGCGTGCAGGAGAGCAAAGCATTTATGCAGAGTTGTTGTATTGTATGGAGTTTGTCGAATGGACTTTGTTGGAGCTGCAGCGCAGTGTTGTCGCAGTCTTCAGTGCTGCTGCCGGTCAGGCCAAGAACACGTTGCAGACGTGTCAGCGTCGCCACGAGCGTGTTCAAGTGATGCTGTTCCAGCATGCAGTTCTGACACAAGAAACAGTACTTAGAACTTGCAACAACACAAGAACACGTTGCAGACGTGTCAGCGTCGCTACGAGCGTGTTCAAGTGGTGCTGTTCCAGCATGCAGTTCTGATACAAGAAATAGTACTTAGGACTTGCAACAACAACGTATGTATAAAAGACATTCAGGTATAATATAGTACGTACACAAATGCGCACAGATTTCAGAAATTGAACGACAAAAATTTTTCTGTTTTCTGCTTAATATATCTAATCAACTATATTTCACATTACATGAAAAACAGCTGATATAGTTATGCGAGAATGTTGTAGTATGCAATTTGACCAGAATAATACGTATTTAGAATTTGCTAGAACTACGCATGTAAGAAAGACCTTGAAAAATTCCTTTATACGTATTCAAATGGGCCTCAAACATGATCTACAATAAATCACGAAGAAAACATCTCCGACCCAAGAAATAATCTCAACCTATGATCAAAGCAAAAATAGTTTAGTAAAAAAATGCATATTCAGCACAATATATTACTAAAAAACAAACCTGGTAAGCAGCTCTGATTTTGACACTGAGTCCCTGGTCCTTGACTGCAGGGAAGCCTAGCGTGTCACGCTGCTGGCTGCAGACGTGCTGGTCGTAGAGCTGCAGCAGGCAGCGCAGACGAGAATCAGAATGACGGGAATTCATCAATATCATTGACAAGAATTCAACTTTTTGACTAGAAAAATAATCCAGAAGATAAAAAACTGTAATATGTATAAATTATTAACAACATGATAATAAAGTTTTCTCGAATGGTATAATTTTGTCGAATAATATTTACTTGGGTAATCTGAGCGAGTTTACGGGCGCGCGCAGTGGGCTGGTCCTTGAGAAGGTAAGAGAGCGAGCGCGGCAAATTTTTATTGTTGGCAAGATAATAATCCAAGAGATAAAAAACTGTAATATGTAGAATTAAATAACATATAACAAAATGGTAATAAAAATAAACTTGGGTAACCTGAGCGAGTTTGCGGGCGCGCGTAGAGGGCTGGTCCTTGGGAAGGTAGGAGAGCGAGCGCGGCACCCACGGCAGCAGCAGACGATGGCCGTAGAAGTTGCCTAGCGAGATGACGCTCTCTCCCGTCACCATCCCGTACCTGCCGAGTTACTTGCTTAGTTCATTTAGTTAACTGACGAGTTACTTGGTTACTTCATTTAGTTAACTAACTAGTTAATTAGTTAGGTCACTGGCCATAGCTTTGGTTAGTTCATTAGTTAACTAACTAGGTAATTAGTTAGTTCACTGGCCATTGTTTTGGTTGGTCCGTTAATCCATGGCCATAATTGTTGGCGCTTCAGGACGGGCTATCTCGCACCGAATGTCAAGTTATGCTAAGGATCAGAAAATATCACATGTATTAGATTATGAATAGAACATACACTGTGGAATGGATTTATCGCTCTCAGGTAAACTCTAAGACTCGCACCTGCCGAGGCTGGTGAGCTGAATGTACCGACACAGCGGAGGAGGCTGCAGGTCAGACAGGATCAGAGGTCTGGACGCGATGTCGGAGCAGACGGCGAGACGGTGAGTGTCGCGATCTTCTCCGACGAGCCAAACGTCCACAGAGAGGGACGCAAGATCCGGACATACGGGGACAAAAACGTCCGTCAGGAGCACGGGTTCACCGAAGTCAAAAACTACGAACCTTCGAGCACCAGGGACCATGTGCTCGACAACTAGGTACTGTTGTGATGGTAGAGACAGGAACTGTTGCCAGGCAGTTACTGGTAGCGAGCTGACACCAGCAGTGCCAGTGTAGTCCGTAGGACTAGAAGACTTGTCACCTGGTTTATGGCAGCTTGTGGATGAACACGCCTCATTTTTATTTTTGACTTTATCGCCTAATTTTATGCTTGATTCGTCAACTGTTTTGCTTGATGACACGTTCTCATTGACGTTCTTCTGATAAGAATTATAGGCTTTTGATTGATCATGTTTTAGCGCGTCGGAAGAATCTCCGACGTGAGCCGCACTCAGAGTTTTAATTTTTTGGCCAAATTTGAGGGATTCCTGTAATAAATTAGAACCGTGCATGGCTTCATAGGGCAGTTTAGAGCCACTCTCCACCAGTTCCTGCAGCTTCACGATCTGTTCACTAGTCTTGCTGAAGAGAGCCTGAAGCTCGGTATAGTCTTCTTCTAGATGAGCGTGGCCGGGGAACAGATGTTGAGGAAGCAAGGCGTGACAGCTGCCATCAGGCTGTGAAATAAAGTTAAATATATAAGCCACAGAGCAGAATGAAATTAAGAAGGTTTCAGCAGACTCAAATGCTCGTCAAAACAAACAAAGACTAGCTCACGATATCAAAGAGTAAGCTTTTAGCAGGCCATCTGGCTGTGAAATAAAATACAGGTTACAGAGCCGAGTGAAATTCAGGAGGTTTGAAACATAAACAAGTTCGCATATATCACATTCTATCTATAAATTGAAACTAGATTTTCTTTTCATATTTAGTGGATATTTTGGAACATATCAAGTTACTAAGGTGGGTCGATTAGGAATATGTGAAACATTTCAAAAATTCCACCTTGCTCCGGATAGCTTATGTGAATTAGCCTTTAACTAAGCATAAAATGACAAACAATATTAAAACGGGAGAAATAAAAATATCAGCTATAGGTCATCAAAGCGAGTAAGGATTTTCAGCTTATATCATCTCCTGACCATGGACGTAGAGCAATGGAGGCGGTCCTAAGAATGTTGTTACATGTCACTTATAGAATAATAACAATATGGAATTAGATAAAGTATAAATAAACATAGATTTGAAGGAGCTTTCAGGGAAATTAGAATCCTATTAAGATCTTGTTACTGGTGAAAAAAATCTGTTCGTTTAAACAGTCAAATATATGTGAAAGAATTTCGGGAAGAACTGCACATTATGTACAGGCTTTCAATACATGTGCACATCTACAATACACACCATCTACTATACACACAATCTACTACCTATACATACCATATTGTAATTAGGTTATAACTACAACACACAGACCTTATTGTTACAACGAGATTACAACTACAAGACTCTCAGCATATTGTAACGAGATTATAACTACAACACACAGACCTTATTGTTACAACGCTATTACAACTACAACACACTCACTATACTGCAACGCTATTACAACTATAAAACACAGACCTTATTGTTACAACGCGATTACAACTACAAGACTCTCACCATATTGTAACGCGATTATAACTACAAGACACAGGCCTTATTGTTACAACGAAATTAAACTACAAGACACAGACCTTGCCGGCGTCAGAGGACTGGCCAGTCTTGCAGCGCTCGAGCTCAAGACTGAGCACCAAGTCCATCATATCGTCCACATTCTCGGCCAGATGTTCGGCGGTCTGCTCGGCCAGCTGAACAAAACCAGCCCACAAGCTCATAACCTCAGCGCTTACAGCCACCAAAACTTTAAGTTTAACAGAGTTCCATGATCGTTACGTTCCAACTTACATCTACGGAAACATCAAATTCAACATAGTTCCTCGATCTCTACATTCTCATTTACATCCACGAAAACATCAAATTCAACATAGTTCCCCTATCACTACATTCCAGATTACATCCACGAAAACATCAAGTTTAACATAGTTCTTCGATCTCTACATTTCCAACTTACATCCACGAAAAACTCAAGTTTAAGATATTTCCACTATCCTTACATTCCAACTTACAGCCACGAAAACATAAAGTTTAACATAGTTCCCCGATCATTCCCAACTTACAGCCACCAAAACATAAAATTTAACACAGTTCCCTTATCTCTACATTCCAACTTACATCCACGAAAACATCAAGTTTAACATAGTTCCCCGATCATTAAGTTGCATTTACAGAAGTACGATAAGAAATATACAATTATTAGCGCCATAACAAGAAGTGTTCCCAGAATATTAGAAAAAAAACAAGGAGTCTTACACGAAAATCCCAGAAATTACATAAAGTATTACCGTACGCGAGTGTCAACAAAATTACAATGAGTATATTGTACAAGTAACCACGGAAGTACAAGCAGCGTTTTAAAAGTGTTACCCAATAGTTGAAACGGGCAGCGGAGAGTTTGTAATCAACATTCAGCATTGCACTGTCAATGAAGTGTACCTACATGAGAGTTTAAATTCAATTCTGAACGTTAAAGGATAAAAGTCTAATATTTGTAGCTTCTCCGAGTGTTCAAAAAGAGGGAATTTGTATCATGTAGTTGATTTTTTCAAATTGCAGTAATAGTGAACTCAGTTACACCAGGCAGGTATAATCTTCTTTTTGCTAGCACCACAAATATAGGAGGACTCACAAAAAAGTAAGAAAATGCATCGTTCTTTGGACAAGAACCGGACATTTCTCTGTGTATATCCCTACTGAGTCCTGAGTCGTCGGTGTTGTCAGCTTCAGAGGTCGTTTAAAATTTTGCTATCTTTTATAGTGTCCAACAAAAATATTCACCGATGATATTGACCACAATTTTCAGTTTCGTCAAGCATTCAACATGCGTGCACTCAAAAAAGTGAATGGGTTATACTGTCAAAATAGTGACATTTTCCGCACGTAGCAATGATACGCATGTTTGTTAGACTAAACTGGATCAGGATGACCCACAAAAGACTAAAAATGATATCGGTATGTGGACAAGGTCTCAACCGAGTGAAGAGGATAGAAACGCTTTGTACAACCAAATGATCAGTGCATGATTCTAAACTACTATAAACTTACTTAAATTTCAAAATTTATAAAGAAAGAAAATGCAAATTAAATCGACGATATCTTTTCGATCAAAGTAATTTCGGAAATACATTAAAGTAAATAAAATTCCTCAACAAACGATTAATGAGAACTAAGCAGCATCCGACAGAAGAATGATTTTAAGTTGGCATAGAAGCTCGTCTATTTTCCACGCCACAAATAATTGTTCCCAAAAGATAGTCAATAATTTAATATTTTCCACAAAAAATACGAGTTATTAGAGTTTAATTGGGAATAAAGAGGTTTTCCCACCGTCTTACAAGCATTGCCTACGACCCACAGAAAGTACAAGCAGAGAGAGAATAAAGATATCAATACTTACGGTGAATATATAATCAAGCTCGTCCGTGGGTCCCAAAAACATAAAAGGAGACTCAGGATCTGATGAAGGATCCTCAGCAGGAAGCATCGCCATGTTCACGTCACCCCATCCTGCAACAAAGTCGAGATAAATCATCGGCCCTTACCTGAGTAACCTTACAAACAGGAGAGTGTCAGAGGTGTAAAACAGAAAGTTGTAAGGGAAAAATATTAAAGCATTCTCAATCCTCATCAATCAGTATCATTCAGACCACAAAACAAGAGGACAAAACAAGCCGTGGATCTTACCAAATTACACAAGCCGAGACGGAACAGTTTAGTACCGCAACACGTGTTTGTAATATGATGGTCTCTCTTAATCGCATTTAGCGAGTATAACCACTCATTTAACCACAAAACAAGAAAAAATAACAAGCCCCAGATGTTTCTTAATCGTATTTAGCGAGTATAACCACTCATTTAACGGCAAAACAAGAAAAAATAACAAGCCCCGGATGTTTCTTAATCGTATTTAGCGAGTATAACTACTCATTTCTTCACAAAACAAAAGAACATATAAGCTCCGGTGAAGAACATAATAAATATACAAATGATATATTTATACTGCTTAGGACTGAATACAGACGTATACTCGTTATAGAGTCAATGGACATTATTTCTTTACTTTAATGCGCAACTAGACTTCTCGAACTCTGTACTATCGAACCACAAAACAAGCGACCATAACAAGCCCCAGATGTTACCTGAGCCACCCCGGAGCAGCTTGGTGCCGTAACTGACCGTGTGTAATAAGATGGTCAGTCTTAATCGTATTTAGCGAGTATAACTACTCATTTAACCGCAAAACAAGAGAACATAACAAGCCCCGGATATTACCTGAGCCACCCCGCAGCAGCTTGGTGCCGTAACTGGCCGTGTGTAAGGTCACGTGCAGAGGCTCCACCTCCAGCAGGCCGCTCACGCTCGACAGCGGCGGGCACATTGGTGACCATCCTGTGCCGGTGTTAGGTCCAAAGCTGGCAGTAATACCAGCAGCGCTACCACCCGTCACGTTGCTGTAGTTGTGACTGGTACTGGTGGTTGTGTTGGTAGTGGAGGCGTTGGTAGAAGCAGTTCCGTTAGAGGCGCTCGAGGAGCCATGGTTTAGACCGCTAGAAGAGGAGACATCGCCAGCACCGAATAGGATGGAATCCATTTCATTCACTCCAATACTCGAAAGAAGACCTGGTTTTGGAACTTTGTTACCTGTGGGGAAAAAGAGAAAAAGCTAAATTTATGTTGAATATGTTTCATTTCTCAACACCGAACCATGGAAATGAATGTTTATCATTCATATCAACAAATGCATGTGTAAATGTTCATCAGCAGTTTTATCCCGGCAATATAGCTAGATATGCCATCAAAAAATGAAATAATAATAGTATATTATTTCGCAGAAAAACTATAAAAATAATTTTGTACTAATAATTAGAAGTGAAAACTTCCAAACTTTTCATATCACGACCTCAACAGGAAACAAGGGAAGACCAAGCTATTCTATTCTTCAAGAATAGTTATATAATAATTTAGTTGAAGAATATTCTTCAAGTAAATGAAGGACCGCTACTCACCGCCCCCGCTGTTCACACCCCCTGCAGCAGCCGTAGCACCACCGGCAGCAGCAGCACTCCCTTCAGCAGCTCTCTCAGACGCGCTCTTGGGTTTCTGGCGAGATCGAGATAATAATATATAGATTAACCCTCCCGTGTTTGCGTTACTTAACAACGTTTTTTACCGTTACAATATTCCTGCCTAACGTAAGTTGGTGAGATCATGATTAGGATAAGATATAGATTAACCGTCCTATGGTTGCATTATTTTACAACGTTTTCAACGTTTCAATATTCCTGCCTAACATAAGTTCTGTTTTACTTATGCAGCCCAGCCACGGTTAAGAAGTTTCTGAATGTTCATACCTCGATGGGTGCCACGATTGTCACCATAATCGACGCTTTGCTTCACAATGAATGTGAAACATTATGTATGGGGGTGATAAATTCGATACAATTCCTAAACAATGAAGGAGTTCAACTGACCCTGACCATTAAGCAGCGTAGATCTAAATTACGCATATGTCACGACTCATTCAAAGAATGCAACCCGGTAGATCAATTAATCATGAATCAATCCTGAGGATCAATCAATCATGAATCAATCCTGAGGATCAATCAATCATGAATCAATCCTGAGGATCAATCAATCGTGAATCAATCCTAAGGTTCAATCAACCGTGAATCAATCCTGAGTATCAATCAATCATGAAAAAATCCCGAGGATCAATCAATCGTGAATCAATCCTGAGGTTCAATCCTGTGCATCAACACGAAACAAAATGAAAAATCCAAAGAAGGCCAAACGTCGGTCATGTCAGGGTTGACCTAAAACCTCATATACAAGAGAACAATGGTAAAAACCAGCAATGAAAAACGAGAGTAAAAATCGATGTTAATTGATATGGAAAATCATGATAAAAACGTGTAGAAAGTGTTGCACCCCATACAATAATTGCCACGTAATGCTCATTGAAAGCAACCCTCGAACACATGGAAAATATAATACATACCTTACCTCTCTATCAGAGAAATATGGAGTCATCACATAAAATAACTATTCCAAAACGGTACTCTCGATGATAATCAACATAATGCGTCAATATTTTAGATGAGAAAATAATTCTCCTGTATCATGCTCCCTTCCCTACAGATAAACTATCAAAGAAAGATTATTTAAAAGCCCCATGCCTACGTGTCAGTGAAACAGGGCGGTAGGTCGTCAAAACCTCATAGCAAAAATGAATGAAAACAGAAAATTGATATCAAACCGAAGCTGAAATTACGGTCGATAGTAGCCTTCAAAGATGAAATATCTAAGAACCTCACTAGTGTGTCGGTAGAGTACAGGCCAACACATCTAAGAACCTATCCAACAACGAAACTCTTGTTGATAATGAAAAGAAAATGAATTTCTTAACAATAGCTTTCAAAGAAAAAAATATACAAGCCCGACCTGCGTGTCAATGAAGTACAGCGGCAGCACACCGCATAAAAATTCCAACAACAAAACTCGCTGATTATGAACATAAAATGAATGCCAAAACAAAAATTGCAATAATCTTCATATCCAATAAATAAATGCCAAACCTGAGTGTCAGTGAAGAAGGTAGGCAAATGAACACAATATGAATGTCAAAACAATAAAAACAGCCTTTGAAAAAAATACATAGAAGCCGGACCTGAGTATCAGTGAAGCAGGGCGGCAGGACATCAAAGAGCGTCCTGTGCAGAGGCGTGCCGTGCAGGCCGAAGTGAGACTGCAGGATGAGGTGCAGCGGATCTTCTTTCTTCTCTAATGTGGCGTTAGTGGCGCTCAGCAGCTCAGTCACCTGCAGGTAGACAAATTAAGTAATACACGGCCTTTAAAGCAAGATTTGGCATTGATTCGTGTAAGCCCTATTTAAAGAAACGCAAATATTTACCATATGAATTTACTCGTCAAACGTTCATCATATGACTAATTCGCCAGATAATATCGTATATATAAAATAAAAGCGTAAATTTGATCATTTGTTGTATGAAAACTAAGGATAGGTAAATAACAAAACACAATTGCAAGAGAACACTTATAATTTTCTTAAATATTCAAGGTCGGCATTAAAGCAATCTATAATATTTTTTCATTCCCCTCGATATTCACAATTGATATTCAAGCACTGCATAACGAAGTTTCATCGGAGTTCATTTTATCAAAGTGAATTTCATTGAAGTGAACTTCCTCGAAGTGCATTTTCACTTCCCCACACTAGATATTCACAATTGACATTCAAGTAATGCATAACGAAGTTTCATTGAAGTGCCTATTCAATTCCCTTCGCTCGCTATTCGCAATTGAAATTCAAGTACTGCATAATATGAAGTAGTATCAAAGAAGTGCATATCGACCTTATTAACGACAGCGTCCTGGTCGCTCCACTTGACATAGTTAAGCAGCAGGAAGAAGTGCGTGAGAGCTCCAGAGCTGCGGGCAGCGCTGGCCAGAGGGACACTAGCGACCACCGCCTCACATATGGCGCTGCTGGGGGTCTGGGTCTCGTCGTAAATGTCGAACGAGCCTTTAGTGGTGTTGCAGGCGTCCTGTCTGATCACGGCAGATACATTGCATTAGAGAAATTATTATGCTTGCGTAAGCATGTAAAAAAGATTGACATTATGAAAAAAATTGAGAGATAAAATGCATTTAGAAAATATTGAAACTTTAATAAAATTTGAGCGAATGATCCACAATATTTTTCCGGTAAAGCAGTACGAAAAATGACTTAATGCACAACGAAATAACCGTACGAAATTCTAGTACGAAAATGACTCACTGCATAAGAACGAAATTACTGTCCAGTGGAACAGTACGTAAAATAACTTATTGCACAACAAAGAAATTGTGTAGAGGCACAACAAAGAAATTAGTCTCTATTCAGCAGTACATAAAATAACTTACTGCATAACAAAGAAATTAGTCTCTATTCATCAGTACATAAAATAACTTACTGCACAACAAATAAATTAGTCTAAGAATTTAAAAGCAAAGAATACCGTTAGTCCACAAAAATTCATATCTTGATAGAAAACTTTTCGGAGACCAGCTCCATCGTCAGTTCGTAGAATCTAGAATCACAAATTAATACATTGGAAGCACAGAACGAAATTAAAAACCCAAATTTACAAACTTACTGCACAACAAAGAAATTAGTCTCTATTCATCAGTACATAAAATAACTTACTGGACAACGAGCACGAGCAGCTTGGTGGTCTTCCTGGCGAGGGAGCGGTCAGCGAAGACGACGCAGCGCCGCACCAGCGCCGGCGCGTGCCGCTGCACGGCGGCCACCAACGCAACATACTCGGCGCTGGCGCCATCACGGCGACCTGAACAACAGGACACTTCAGTGGTCAGGCCTATGACAGAATTATGCCAACAATTATTTTGTAGGCCTACGGGTCCTTCATGATAACACAAGTAAAATTTTATTATTCGGCGCTGGCTCCATCACGGCGACCTGAACAAAAGGACACTACAATAGTCAGGCCTAGGACGGAATTATGCCTACAATGATTATTGTAGGCCCATGGGTACTTCGTTATAAGCAAAAATGCATTAGGTTTCATGCATTGTAGCTGAAATGAATTATCAAGCGACACATCAGTCAACAGGTCTATGATGAACTATAACAATAATTATTTTAAGAAATGGGTTTGGGTAAACGTAATAAGATCATATTAATGCTGAAATAACTCGAAATGTTCGATTTCAAATCCGTTCTATTAAAAAGAAAATCGCCACAAGGGAGTTACTTTACAGTATATATTTTCAGGTATTCATACGAACCTTGCACACGGTCAGTGAGGTCAGGTACAGGTACACGTGAGGTCAGGTACAGGTACATGTGAGGTCAGGTACAGGTACACGTGAGGTCAGGTGCAGGTACACGTGAGGTCAGGTACAGGTACACGTGAGGTCAGGTACAGGTACACGCAATGCACACAAATGAAGTCATCAGTGCAAGACAATGATTTTGATTTTTGCTATTGCATAGCAATAATAATAATTCTAAAATAAAACTAAGACGATGAAATTGATAAAAGACTACGCAAAATCATGGAGTTAAAAGTATCTTATCATCCATTCAGTTGGATAATGGATATGAGACGCTACATTGACAATAAATATGATCGTAGAAAAACACATTTTGTTTAACATGGAGCAGGTGTGAGAAAAATCAAATTCAAAAGGTCATTAGCTAGGAATATAGTGATGACCGGAATAAGATATGCAGCACAAACAATGGGCCAAGAGGTTTAGTTATGGGAAGACTATGCTTCAGTCGTGTGAAGATCATAATCCAGAGGTTTAGTTATGGGAAGACTTTGGAAGACTATGCTTCAGTCATGTGAAGATCATAATCCAGAGGTTTAGTTATGGGAAGACTTTGGAAGACTGTGCTTCAGTCATGTGAAGATCATAATCAAGAGGTTTAGTTATGGGAAGACTTTGGAAGACTGTGCTTCAGTCATGCGAAGATCATAATCCAGAGGTTTAGTTATGGGAAGACTTTGGAAGACTGTGCTTCAGTCATGTGAAGATCATAATCAAGAGGTTTAGTTATGGGAAGACTTTGGAAGACTATGCTTCAGTCATGTGAAGATAATAATCCAGAGGTTAGTTATGGGAAGACTGTGCTTCAGTCATGTGAAGATCATAATCAAGAGGTTTAGTTATGGGAAGACTTTGGAAGACTGTGCTTCAGTCATGCGAAGATCATAATCCAGAGGTTTAAGCAATGAGCTCATGCAGTGCAGCAAGACCATGCAGTGCAGTGGAACTGACATGGGCGCTGTGGCGCGTGCAGTGCGTGGAGCCACAGCAGCAGGTCCAGAGCGCAGTGGCGCAGGTGGTCGGAGGTGGTCTCGGCGGCGGCGGCCTCCACCAGCTGCTGGTGGAAGCTGGTCTTGGTCACCAGCGCAGCCCGCTGCCGTCTGCAGCCATTCAGACTTTGTTACAAATTAAATTCTATAAAAATACTGGGATGTTCCATAAGACTTATTTCGTTACAAATATGAAATTTAATAGAAAAAAAAAGTTTCATTTTAATATTGACAATTTTACAACCATATATTTTAAATTTCATAATCGCTTGCATATGTCTGGGGGCATTCAGACTTCATTACAATTAGGAATTTCATTATAAAAATACAGAGATTAAAAGTCTGGTATTGAGGGGACTGGTATTTATTCGAGGAGACCATACGGCATTCACTGCAAACAACCCAACCCCACTAAAAAATATTTGCCCGCGAATTATTTGCAAATGCCTAAAAATCTGATCTAAAGTTTCGTGAATTAGTACACGCAAAACAGTTAACAATTCATTTTGTCCACATAGCAACATGTAGTACTGAAACGCATTTTTCACCTGCTGGGCCAAACTGGGTCAGAATTGCCAAAACATAAGCAAAAAATGCATCTAAATTGAATGAAGTCCCGAAATTTTTCAGGCTGGTTCAGACGTTGCCAATCACCTGTCAGCGCAGGAGGTGGGAGCCGAGCTCAGGGTGATGGAGAGCTCTTGAATATCGTTACAGCCCGCGGCGGGGTAGTCTTGACTGCTGTTGTTGAGGTTATTGTTGTTGTTGTTAGAAGTGGTGTTGCTGTTGGTGACGGTAGCGCGTTCAACACTGGAGACGTATTTCTCAGTGCTAGGGTTGTCCTCAGGAGGAATGTAGCTTGACGTCACATCTGGTACGCCCATCTACAATGTAGGAAATGGAAGATAAAATTAAACATAATATAACGATAATTATAGAACAATAGCAATGTAGGGAAAGGAAAATAAAATCAGATTTTAATTATAAAACAATAAGACTGTAGAGAGTGGCAAATGAAAGATCTAATAACTGTCCATTGCTAGAACAAACAGGGCAAGACCATGTATCGGTCTATCGATAACATAATAAAGGCACACTCGACAAGACCGTGTATCGGTCTATCGATAACATATTGGTATTTCAACAACATAATAAAGGCACACTCGACCAGACCTTGTAGCGGTCGAGCAGCCGTTGGTGGTGCACAGGCATGGCCCTGATGTGGACAAGGAAGGTGCAGCGGCTGCGGTGTAGCGCCAGTGCGGGGCAGGAGAACGTGACGTAGGCGGTGTGGCCGGACAGGTCCAAGTGGTCCCCCACATTCACAGGACCGCTCACCAACTCTGCGTTGTGGGCCGCTTGGAACGTCGCCGTTGTAGCCGGGTTCACGGGGCCATCTGTGGTGAACGTGACGTGACAACTCAGCGTGAGGTTACAATATCAGAACAAGTATATCCTCGATATATTTTACAGCTAGCATATTCAAGAAGGTTATTATTTTCAAGTTACTCCACGTCAAATTCATGAATTAGAAAATGCTCAATCAAATTTCACTTTTGAATAGTTCAATCAATTGATGTGGTAGAGGCGTTTAAATGGTCACATAGGGCGCTATCAGCAATTGGATACGGTATGTGAGCTTAAATTATTCAGCACAGAAATGCATGGTAGTGCTCGTGATGAGGGAAGAGCTTGGATATAACAACGGATCATTCAAACAACAGATGAATTTAAAAACAGATGGATTATACAACAGATGATTCAACATCAGATGAATTTAGCAACAGCTGATTCAACATCAGATGAATTTATCAACAGATGATTCAACACCAGAAGAATTTAAAAACAGATGATTCAACATCAGATGAATCTAACAACAGATAAATTTACGAACAGATGGATTTAAGAAGATCGAACACTCAAAGTAATACAGGAGTCATACAACTCTCACCGAGATATTGGTCCAAAGGGCTGGTCTCGTCAAACATAAGAGAGGCCGCGGCGTCCGCAGCAGCAGAAGCTTCTTTATTCTCACTACGATTTTGCTCCGTGTCCACGGCAGAGCGCATGAGTTTTGTGGCGGTCTTGGCAGCTTTTGGTGTTGTTTTGCTGCCATTGTGCAGGTCGTTGTGCTTCCGCTTGTGTCGGCAAGTAGCGTCAGTAAGCGAGGACAGCTTACTGTTCTCGTCTGGGTTGCGGGCGCCCGCTTTGCTGTGCTTGCTTGACATGCCGCAGCTGCGTGACGAGCCGTGGGTCTGCCGGAGCAGCGTCACCTTTGGGGTGGCCAACATTGATGAGAAAATCCATAATAATGATAAGGTAATTTACGACAACAATTTAAAGTACCCAAGAATTGCCTCTCTTTTTTTTATTAACTAACATCGAGTATAGCTTATGCTTGCATTCTGTTTGTTTTTATCTACTCGTTGAACAGTTTTTCTCTACTTATTTTATCTACTTCCACGCCATCACACGGAAAAGTTGGGCAACAAGAATCATACAAAAAAACATTTGTCTGATATTGTACAAAATCATAGCTAATATCGTGTGTGGTCGTCAGTAGAAAAAACTAGATTTTTATACATAACAAAACAAATAAGCTCTAGTCTACCTGAATATTAGGATCGAGATTGAGTCGCTGGCGTGAGAGCTGGAGTTTAATGTTGATGTGGCCCACGGCAACGGTGGAAGATGCACCGCCCCCCGCCGCCCCCGACGCTGGGGTTATGATCAACTCGAACAGGTGATCGCTCCACGAACTGCGGTCAACGAAAATAATAACGGCTTATTATTTGTGTTGTATATTATGGTTGTGATTGCATATTATAAGATTGTGCATTGTATGCATTGGCAGCACTAATAAACTCACTGTCATCCCGCCAACTATCAGTCAACTAACAGTAACAGAAATATCATTCCTAAATTGATATATTTAGGAATGATATATATGATATATAAATGCTGCATTTATATATCATATACCATATACCATATATCATATACCATTGCTTTTCAAGTATGAAACAAAACTATGTTCACAATTTTACATTCAGAAACCGACAAAACGGAAATTTTCAGAAATGTTTATAATTATCTAACAAGATTTTTAGCATAATATCCTGATGCCCATTCAGCAAAACATGAGAGTGGCCGAATGAAAGCTTGGTTTCTCGCCACGTAATAGCTATTGAATTCCTAAGTCTGGGCTGTTGCTGAAACGACCCTCAAGTAACACCACAAGATGATTAAAAGATAACGGCTGTACAACATGTAATCAATTTTTTAGTAAAGCAGTTATCTTTAATAGCTATTTGTGACTTCCAACTACCAAGAACAAGGCATCCAAGCATTGAAGGTACAGGAAATGCTTCTCTCCTCAATGTGCCCTAGACAATTACCTTCATCTCGCACATAGTTAGTTATTAGCTCTAAGAACATAGTTATTAGCTCTAATAAAATAGTTATAGCTCTAATATCATAATTAATAACTCTAATAACATAATTATTAACTGTAATAACACAGTTATTAGCTCTAATAACAAGTTATTAACAAATGACATAGTTAATAACTCTAATAACATAGTTATCAGCTCTAATAACATAATTATTAACTAATAACATAGTTAATACCTCTAATAAAAAAGTTAATCAACTCTCTAACCTGTTGTCTGGGTCCAGCGTCCAGCACCTAGTGGACTCTGCCCCTGCGGCGTGTAGGACGTACTGCGGCTGCTGCAAGGGCTGGGGATTACGTCTCTGCTGCTGGGCCTTGGTCATCTCTATCCAGCAGGGCGGCACGGTGGCCACGAGGTTAGGGCAGCCCGGCCTGAACGTCGTCAGCTCCAGACACTTCAGGAGCGTCTCCTCCGACACCGCCATGTCGGCCCACAGCGGCTCTAGATCTGGAATAATATAGAGATTTGTACTCAAATCCTAACTAGAATGCCGGCCATGAGTGGCTAGAATGACAAAGACTTGCGCTCAAATCCAAACTAGAATGCCGGCCATGAGTGGCTAGAATGACGGAGACTTGCACACAAATCCTCTAATTATGACAATAGTAGGAGCAGGAAATATTGAATAGCAGAGAAATATTACAAGTTTCCCATATTGAAAAAGCAGTTAGATTTCGTTAGTAGTTTTGCAAGAATGCTTTTAGCCCTGAATTAGAATAATAAAACAAGTGCATCAAATGTTAGGCGCTGGATGAAGAATTATTGCCTAGTGCATCAAATGTTATAGGCACTAAAGGAATGGTATGAGAAAAATGACGAGCTGACGATGGATGATAGGCTTGTAGATGATAAATTCAAATGGTAATCATTTGATGAAGTACAGGACAGTATATGTCGGGCGTTGGTCCAGAAATATACTATCAAGCCTCAGAACCTTAAGAACTTTTCCTTGCCCTCAACTTTGCATCAACACAAGTTATTTTGAGACAAGCTTGGGTAGTTGGAATTCAAGTCAAAATTGATTCAACAAAAATGTAACTCAGTATTCACTGCAGTGAGTGACAGAGAGCGCATTTTCTCGTCGACGAAAACATGAAGTCACGGACAGACGGACGGACATGACGAGCACAATAGCGCTTTTTTTCCATAAATGAGAAAATGCGCTAAAAAATATATTTCTTACGTCCAGCACATAACTTTCAAGATAACATGAAAGAATGTATTCAAGTTACGCACTGTGACAATAAGTGAGAGTGCAGAATGCAGACTCGTTAGGGACACAGGCTGTCCCTACAGCAGGCGTCTGGTAGAGGCAAGTGAAGGCATCGCAGTCAAACACGCGCATTGAGCCGTCGTGCAGGACCGCAGCAAACAGGCAGTGGCACCAGTCATACGAACAGTCCAGGTCGTCATCAGAAATCTGAGGAGTTAAAAACAATCATATTAATGCTTTCATGCATTAAATATATAATAAATAATATACGTTTATACACCACTTTTTAAAGACAACACTTCTAAAGAATCCCGTGTTTCCAATGTTACAGAAGTACAATGAATTGCTAATTTTATTTTGGAATATTAAAACATTCATTTTCAATTTTTTAATGTATAATTTTTTCAAAATTATTTATTTTGTAATTCGATTAATGCATTGTCTCCAACTTTAGCAAGTGTGCAAAATTTCAGATCGATAGGAGAAGTAAATTGTGTTAAAAATCGATTATAAGATTTGTAGCAGACAAACAAACAAACAAACAACAAGAAGTGAAGTTAAAGAGAAGTGTTGTAATAAAAAGGCAATATTCACCTGATTATTTCACAATTTATCTTTTATTACTGTCAATAGAGTGGTACCTACAAAAATCCAACGAGCAATTATTTCCAAACAAATTCTAGAACACAGTCACGGCTAGCACTACACGGTAGAGTAAACAATGCTTACACTAGAAGGTAAAGCGATGATATCCTTGATGACTTCCCCTCTAGGGAGTGGCTTCATGAGAGGAAGCTCATCGCTAAGCTTCACCGACGCTGCTTTACTAGAAGACTTCCCTAGAATAGCATAGCGCAATAGCACTCCACCGTTAGACGAGGCAGCAGAATCACCTGCTGCTGGGTTTTGAGCAAGACACACCACCAAATAAATACCACAAGAGTTGGGCAAGATGGCAGTGACTACAGGGTCAGGGTAGTCGCATGGTAACATCACGCACTGAATACACTCTGGTCGCCTTGCTTCACCCTCATCAGCTTCTTTGGGGGTCCCAGTTGCGCCTTTTTCTTTGGTTAAAGGAAGGAAAGATCTTTTGTTATTAGAAGTAGGTACGGTTGGGCCCCAATCCTTCACAGGAACAGACTTTAATTTGTGGGAAGCCTCACAGTAAACAGTGGAACCTCCCGTGGCTTTGGTGTTATTCCCAGTGGCGTTTATACCGTTACTTTTCTGAGACACATCCAATGAAGATCCCGTACTCATGCCTTCATAAAAAGTCTTTTGAACCGCAGTTCCTACTTGTGTGTCTTCGTGGAAATCGTACAGCATCAAGCAAGGGTAGAAGGTGCACTTTCCGTGGGATTCCTCACTGGTCAAAGAATGGCTGGCATTTTCGCAATCTGAGTTATCCTCGAGCTTGGCATTTTGGCAATCCACTGATAAACCGAGACTTGAAGTCACATGTTCAGGTTCTGTTAATTGATGGCAAGATAATTGTTGCATGCGTAGAACTTCATTATAACAGAGCCCTGCAGCTACAACTACAGAAGGACGAGCAAGAACAGGCCAACCATCAGTTTGGTCAGTTTTTGGCCAGGAGGAGTTAAGGTTCGAGACATCAGTGACAATACCGCCTCTTCTGAAGAAATTTGCTTCTGCGGGGTCCACCAATACGCTAGACTCCCACAAATGAACGGACAACGACTTGTTTGAATCATAATGCTCGGTAGAATCCCCTGGAACAAAGCAGGCAATATTTTAAACGTCTATTCTCAAAAGGATTAAATTATACTCAATTATTTACAATTGTTATTAAGTAGAATAGGGAAATAAAGTTCACTCACGTAACTTAAGCCATGCTTGTGATTTCATACATTAATGTACACAAGATGTTGGGTTCCAAATACCTGTTGATGACGCTGTATTAGCTTCGCGCTTAATGGCGATCTCATCTTGGACCATCACCTCGATGTTCAGGCCATCACAGTCAAGGCCGCTAGTGTCCCCCAGGAGTGAAGGCTCAGGAATTGTGTAAAGAGTTGCAACTAGTGAACCACCGTCCACACCCTCTAAAGATGCATCGGAGTAAATTGAGGCAGCTTCTTCTATCACAGACTCAGTTGCAGACGAGACAACGTCAATAGTTAAACTTTCGAACGTTTCGACTGAATCTACTTCATGGGCAAGATCTTCATCATGCTTGCAAGGTGAAACACAATCAGTTTTCGAGACTTCTAGAACCTTTTCTGAATTTTGAATGAGAGGAATTGGTTCAGATGTTTCAGAAGACTTTAAATACGAGGGGTAAGCGCTAGGTGAAGAAGAGTTTGTAGGCGTGAGGACCTCCGAATCTTCCCAGTTTTCCGGAGGTATCGCACCAAACGAGGCGTCAGGGCCTTCCTGCATCGGAGACTCAGCGTTGCGGTCCAGCCAAGTCTTGAGGCGAGCAGGAGGCTTGCCATGACAACACTGAGTTGGAGTTGTGCCAGCATGTTGCATTTGTTTCAACTCAAACTTACTGGCATCTGATGCTGTCACTTCCAGAGACTTCACACGCTGCTCAACATTAAGAATTGTGAGTAAATAAGATTATTTATGCATTGGATATATCCATCACCACTTCCTGTAAGACAAACAAGCTTAAAATTTACCAGTTTAGAAGCTAACATTTTTTAATGTTTTGGCAAAAAAAAATACTTTTTTCACAACTTTGCTAGTTTTCAAGGGCAAATTCTCATTGTAAATAACAAACCATTGTTCAAGATAACCTTTATAAATACAAATAATAAGTCAATCATGCAGTGGCAATATTATTGAAGTCTACAGATATGGACCGCAGCGCATATATTTAATTACCTGAAGTTGTTTGCTAAGTCTCCATAAAACAACACTGCCGCTTTGTCTACTAATGGTAACTATGAAATCCGTAGAATTTCCAGAAGAAAAATCCATATCTGTTACTGGATTATCCACAGTGTTGTACGATTCAGAACCGTCGACAATTTTCCTCGCAGAATTCTCTTCAATTTCTGCCCCATGGATATCAGCATTTCCATTAATGCCGTCATCGGTAACCACGTCTTCTACTTGAAGCTGTAGCGGCTGCTCCTTCACTTGATTAGTACTATGCTTATTGACAGAAGGTGGCTGAGACTTCACGGTACTAGGAGGCTTGGAGTCTGGGGACTTTTTCTCTAATGCAGTCGTGGACTTGGCGTCTGTGGACTTTTTCTCTAATGCAGTCGTGGACTTGGTGGCGGGACTGGGGGTTCTAGTGTCGTGATGGAAGCCGGCATGAGACGTGGACAGCGTGTACGTCAGAGGGACGTTGTGGGTGTAATCACCCTTCACAAAAGGGCAATTCGGGGAGTGCCTTTCATGCTCAGACCTGTGACAACATCCAAATATATTTTAAAATCTTTCAATTAACAAGTTTATCTACGTATATTTGGCAGATCCAGTAATTTCATACCCAAGACCAGGCGTTAATAGATTTTTGAACCCCCAATAAATTGTTTAAAATTCACGTGAATTACTAATTAATCAAGACCGAAATACAAAATAAAATTAACAAGGTATCAGATAGAAGTCTATAAAAACACAATGAGAATTAAATAATTAAAATGAGAACATCAAACCGAGGCTCATCAGTGGTTAAAATTCACACAAATTATTAACTAGGACCAAAATACAAAATATAATTAACAAGGTATCAGATACAAGTCTATAACAAACACAATGATTATCAAATAATTAAAATAATAACATCGCACCAAGGCTCATCAGTGGGCTCCCAGAAGACGAGGCACACGGAGCACAGGAAGCACATTGCCCGGTCGTCGTCCGGCATGAGGGGCTGGTGGAAAAAACCTGCCTCTGCCATCTGCTCGGGGAGTGCCCACCTGCACAAAATATAACGTCTCAATCTACATACAATTATTCAACAGACCTTGAAATACCTAGTCGTGCTTCAGTAATATTCTTCCAATAAAATTGTTCAACAGACCTTGAAATACCTCGTCATAATTCAGTAATATTCTTCCAATAAAATTATTCAACAGACCTTGAAATAGGTACCTCGTCATAATTCAGTAATAATCTTACAATAAAATTTGCAACAGAACTTGAAATACTTTGTCATTATTCAGAAATGTTATTAAAGTTGCTAGATGAAGCTTAAGATCCAGTATATATCAAGCAATTATTAGCAACATTTTCATTAATCACTCATTAATTGGTCATGTTATAAAATAGAAATATGAGCACGAAACATCAATGAAATTAGACACAAAGCAATGCTAGACAATAACAAAAGAAGTGGTCGTCAAAAATTGCACAGAATTTACTAACACAAAACCAGAAGCCTTACTTATAATCCATATGAGGCCATTTAGCAAAGGTGCATGTTATAAAATAAAAGTATGATCACGAAACATCAATGAAATATGACACAAAGCAATGCTAGACAATAACAAAAGAAGCGGTTGTCGAGGAAGAAATCAATGCAAGCTGAGGGTTTACAAGGTGACTAGGTTTAAGAACAGGCCCTGCTACCTGTCCATTATTGCTGTGGTTATACATTAACATGTAATGTGTTGCTGCATAACCTGTACAATACAACTAATCCTAGCAGAAGCCTAGTCTAAATGCCGCTTTTAGCTCCGCTCCTCTTGAAATAGTAAATAGATAGGCCGTTTACTAGCGTTAATTTCATGTCTTATTTATTTATTCTCCGTTTTAAAACCCAACAGTGCCTTTTACTCTACTAATTGATTGTGTTTCTAGATCTGAACTTCTTCTGAACTGAATTTTGTGAACTGACGATGGAGCTGGACTCCAAAACGTTTTCTCTTATAAAGATATGGTGAATTTTTGTGGTATTGTTTTTGCTTTTAAATTCCTAGAGAACTAATCCTCAAGTACATTACAATACAACTAATCCTCAAGTACATATATAATTAGATGGTCAATTTCATCACGTGTAGACATTTGGAGACTCCATAATAAATTTAACTGTTGTTATAACGTGTACTGTCACATAAATAAAAAGGTCATGTTGTCCAAATAGTTACTTGCTTTGCAACAAAATCACAAACAAAGATCAGACGTAGCACTGATGGCCCTTTTGCTAGGTTAAACTGGGTAAGAATGACTTGCACTAAGGCAAATATTGCATTGCTATTTCGTCTGGCTCTCTCATTTATCCGAGTTTACACTGCAAAAATAGAGCAATCCTCACCTATTAAGATGTTGACTCCAAATTGGTACATATGCGTACCACAAAATGTATTTCTCCAGGATGTAGTGGTACATAATTCAGGTTGCCTAAAATCGATCAAATCCGAGAACAAAAAAGGCCCAAAAAGGCCAATAACTCAATCTATACTAGTTTATTTGTAGGTTCCACTATAAAAATTCCATTTGCTTTCTTTTTGCAATATTTAAAATTTAATTAGGAAGTACCCCTATCATAAATTTTAGCCAACCAACGCAATTGAGAAAAATTAAATCACAAAATTTGTCGGGAAAGAATGACTGTCTTGCATCCCTGTTAAAAAACAGGTACAAAAAATGAAATAATAGTACAAGATGAAGAAATCGGAGTCAAAGTGTTAAGATGTCTTGCTCACCTTCTTGGCTCTGTGTATGGCAGTGTTGGTATTGAGAGCTTGGATTGTTCTAGTAGACTTGCTGGAGCCTGCAGCAACATGACTAGTAAGAGCAGCCTTAAGGCACTCCTTGACACTTGCCNCATCTAGATGTGTATAAGAGACACTAATCTTAATTGATCAATACACTACCATACTTCTGGAGCAAATGTTTTGTTCAAGATACTAGTACACAAAATTACTTAACAACGTACGGTATTCAATGAGTGAATCAATTGATAATGACTATAGTCACCCATTAAGAAAGGGCTAACATGTTAGTTTGTACTACAGTACTGTGATCATAGACGTTATTGATAGAATAATTTGATACTACCATCCAGGGGTCCAAACAGGCACTAACCTAAACAGTAAGGCAAAAATGATGCTAACAAATTGATACTTCATCCCCCATTTCCAGTTCAGATACATCATTTTCAGTTTCAGTTGCTCTCCATTGATGGAGAGCATTTTAGACTACCTAATTGAATTTTCATAAATGAAAAGGAATCTGCCTCATCAGTCAAGTCCTACCTCAATGATATTGAGGTACCAACAAACGTAAAAATTGCAAAAATAATCAATATGTTTCTGCTTTATCTAATAGTGCAACATAATATGTAACTTTGGCATTCTTTGGTACTTCGGCATAAAATATTTGGCATCCTGATAATATAATGCATTATGCATTATATAATGCTGATAATATAATGCAGTATGAAAGATTAAAACTAGCTGGTAGACATCAGGTGCTCACCTCAGCATGATGACATCAGGTGCTCACCTCAGCATGATGACATCAGGTGCTCACCTCAGCATGATGACATCAGGTGCTCACCTCNTGATACTAACAAAATGATACTAACAAAATGATACTAACAAAATGATACTAACAAAATGATACTAACAAAATGATACTAACAAAATGATACTAACAAAATGATACTAACAAAATGATACTAACAAAATGATACTAACAAAATGATACTAACAAAATGATACTAACAAAATGATACCACTTCATCCCACATTTTCAGTTTCAATTGCTCTTCATTGATGGTGAACATTTTAGACAAGTTAAATTTTTATAAATTAAAAGGAATCTGCCTATCAGTCAAGTCCTACCCCAATGATAGTGAGGTACCAATTAACATGATAATAACATAAATAGTGAATATGTTTCTGATTGATATAATAGTGCAACAAAATCCACAACATAGAAATATTTGGCATTCTACAAACATAATGTTTTTGAATATACATAATGTATACTTGAGCGCATGAAAGATCAAAACAAGCTGGTGGACATCAGGTGCTCACCTCAGCATGGTGGACATCAGGTGCTCACCTCTGCATGGTGGACATCAGGTGCTCACCTCGGCATGGTGGACATCAGGTGCTCACCTCTGCATGGAGGACATCAGGTGCTCACCTCAGCATGGTGGACATCAGGTGCTCACCTCAGCATGGTGGACATCAGGTGCTCACCTCGTCATGGTGGACATCAGGTGCTCACCTCAGCATGGTGGACATCAGGTGCTCACCTCAGCATNAACAGTTTATTGCAGCAGAGGTTATGGCCATACCTCGCCAAAAGCAGACTCAAAATAAAAACGTCCCTAATTACCCCTGGGAATGGGTTAATTAGACACTTCAAATAAAACTTAATTTTAAAAAGGTTGCAGCATGCAGAGTGTACTCATCCATTACTAACAGTACTCTGAAGTCCTCCCCTTCCTTTGTAGATGATGTAAATGTAGAATAAATGAAATTTTCTGCATTTTTACTTGGTTTTTCTTCCTTGATATAATATTACCTTCTCCATACATTACCAAATTATTAATGTGATATTACTGTATCCATGGACACACCATTGAGCATTGACAACAACCTTGTCAACTGCAAGCTTCATATTAGCAGCCATATAGCATTTCTTCTGTATCTGTAAGCTTACAGGAGGTCTTGTAGTTTTGCACCATTTTAATTGGGCCAAGTGAATTCACTATAACAAAAATATAACTCAGTACTCAATGCAGTGAGTGACACAGAGAGCAATTCCTTGCCAACGAAAATGTGAAGTCATGGACGGATGGATGGACATGGCGAGCACAATAGCGCCTTTTTTCCATATATGAGAACATGCACTAAAAAGATATCCTACTTTTTGGAGAAATAAATCATAGTTTAGGTTAATTACTTTTCATTCAATGTTGCCCAGTGCACAATCTATCTATGATATTCTATGCACTATTTTGTGATGACCGCTGAAGGCGCTGATGCATCAACTTTTTGTTAAGTGAAAATTTTTTCGCTGAGCAAAGTAAATGTAATCAAAATTATTTGTAGTTAATTGATTTTTTTGTTACCTGGAGCCTATGTTAACCGAGATTCTACCGTAAATGCATTTTTAGAGGTGTCACAGGTTTTTTTAGTCACAGCTAGAATAGTACATATAATATATTCCATGCATGTACATGCTTGTTATGAATGAGAGAAAAATGCCTGTGTTAACACTTAACAGGATTGGAAATTTGGAATTATCCTATTTTCTAAAATTATAGAGCTCCAAAGACCAGGATATTTAATCAACAGTGCAAATCTGTATTATCAGGCACAATTTTCCATAATTTGCCATGGTGCAGACTGCAGAAAGTGGGTGAATATTGCAAGATCTTTGGCAACGCTTCAACAGCAAAATTTAGGCCTTAAGATAATCTTGCCAACACATTTTGATTGAAATTATTTCATTTTGGATATTTGCCAGTCCTCGGCCAACTATTTAGAAAAAAGTAACGTTTCCAGTACGTTTTATGGATCAGGATTGAGCAGTGTGGAATTCTAGAGGGATATTAAATTGACCAGTACACATAGCATATTGGAAAGCAGGACATGAAAGATTGGAAAGTCCAGGAACTTTCCACTTCCAGTTCATTTTATTATATACATTATACATATCCTATCACTTTTCAACTGTGATTGGTTTTGTGGGATTGTGATTTTAGCCCCTTCCAGCCTTCCAGCTGTGATTGGTTAATGGAGTTGTAATGTTATCTGCTTTCTAGCTGTGACTGGTTGCTGCCTTGCTGGGGATGCTTTCAAGCTGTGGTTGGTTGATGGGGATGCTTTCCAGCTGTGATTGGTTGTGCCCATAAGCCCCGCCCCCAAATATGGTATATGTACTACAGTACTACTGGTTAACTAAATACTTAACTTAAACTTGATCATTACAAACAAAAAGCCTGGAAAAAATTAAAAAAATCCATTAAATAAAAGAAAAATAGAGAATATCTATCAAACAAGAGACATTCAAACAATTTTATAACAAATCTGAGGTACTATACAATTTACAATTGAAACAGTTTGTCTAATTTTGATCCTCCTTCTGACTTATAATCAGTCACCTGGCAGAGGCCTTAGAGCACTGTATCTAAGGAAGGCATTCCACCCTGGGTGGAAAGCATTTTTATAAGCTCCTCCTTATCCATACCCATATCCACATCCGCATCCTCATTGTCCTGCCTTGGCGCTTTAAGCTTAGGACTCAGCCGCGCTACTTGCATCCTGGTGGAGCCTTGCATCCTGGTGGAGCCTTGCATCCTGGTGGAACCTTGCATCCTGGTGGAACCTTGCATCCTGGTGGAACCTTGATACCCCAGCGATCATACTACCTCTGCTGTTCTAAGGACGCCTGTAAACTGGCATCCGTTACTTTTCTATTTACTGCTTGATTTCTATTTGTTAATTAAAAACTAAGTAAGTTTCGCGTGTTTCGATTTGCATCCCATGGCGAGGTCTGGTTGCGATAGATTCCTTGGCTGAGCCAACACTGGACCGTAATTGGAATTTTCCAGCTTCTCTGGACTACGCTTGTAGTAGTGCCCCAGAATTCCTTTACAGTCAGTCAATTACTTTTGAGTTGACATAGGCGCAGGAGTGTTACTCATGTGTCCCTGTAGTTAGCTATGCCTCAAATGGTACGCTGTATGCAAGTTATGGAGTAAAACATTGAGTGGGACGTCACAGTCCTGTCAGTCACGAAAGGGTTAAGATATTAGATCTTAAGATAGTAGTTCTTAAGATAGCATATCTTAAGATAGTATATCTTAAGATAGAAGATCTTAAGGTAGTAGTTCTTAAGATAGTAGATCTAAAGATAGAAGATCTTCAGATAGAAGTTCATATGATAGTAGATTTTATGATAGTAGCTCTTAAGATAGCAGTTCATAAGAAATCTTTGTTACCTACCAATAACCTAACTCTCTCTCTGTTCAATGCCCAATACAAATCCTAGAGTGGGGCTATCTGCCCTGGAGTGGGGCTATCTGCCCTGGAGTGGGACTATCTGCCCTGGAGTGGGGCTATCTGCCCTGGAGTGGGGCTATCTGCCCTGGAGTGGGACTATCTGCCCTGGAGTGGGGCTATCTGCCCTGGAGTGGGGTTTTCTGCCCTGGAGTGGTGCTCTCCGCCCCGGTGTGATCTCCACTTTGATGGCCCCGTTCTGTAGCCCTTCAGGCTTCAGCCATTGAAAAATCTTGAGGTTTTTTCCGAGACACCCTTTTTTTGTGCCTAAAAACAAAATTCAGTCAAATTCCTTGAACTGTTCTGACATGGGGCCGCATTGAACCAGTTTTCAGAGGCTCCCATAAATTCCAATTAAAGAAAAGAAAGATTGAGTCACTTGCGTAAAGTTGGAATCAATGTATGAATCAATTGTGAGAATAAATAATTTTAAAATTAAAAAAATTTCAAGTTAAAATACTTGAAAAAATAATTCTGTCTGCTACAAATCGTTTAATCGATATTTAACACACTTTTACCTGTCGAATCGTTCTGAAATTTTGCACACTTGCGTAAAGTCGGAGACAATGCACGAATCATTTGATAGAATAAATAATTGCGAAAATTTAATTTTTTTATTATTATAAAAGAAATTTGATTGATTTTTAATATTTAAAAATTAAATTAGAAAGTCATTGTACATATATAACATCTGAGATACTGGATTCTTTAGGAGTATTGTCTTTGAAAAGTAATTTTTGAACTCCTATTATTTTTAGTTTTGGTCACGGTTGCAGTCTTTTGATTTAATTTGCCACTGGCAAGGAAATCTACGATATAGATGTATGATCTCAAAAAAAAAATCATGAGTTTAATCTCGTAAATCTTGCTATGTTACTGTCTTGCTTGAAAATAGGTTTGCAGTAAACAATGTAATTGACGGGTCGACTGAAATTATCGGGCTTCCAAGAAAAGCCTCCACTGTAGTTCTGGAAATAACTCTTAACGAGTTCCTCTAATCACGGAATAATAACCGCGCAGGTGGAGTTCTTGCAAGTAAAAACAACTGCATAGGCGTTAGGCTGACTATTTCAATTGAATGTAGAGGGTTGGCATTGGCTCTTGGGCTGATCTAGGAGTCAAATTTTTGGGCTACGGCAGCGCTCCCGATTCTGACAACACTCAATAGGATAGACAAGGAGGCGGAGGGGGCTGCATGACCACGTAGTGGGCTCATCGGCTGCATGTCAGACTGCGTGAGTATGCGTCTGCACGGTCTGCTCAATTAAGTTTGTCAATACCCAAATCAGAGATATTTCCCATCTGCTTTCAAAGTTTTTAAGTCCTTAAAACTGTCATGCAAGACGTCAAACGCAGCGTCTACGCGCTTAGTCGCTTTGAAACTTAGCATGTGGTTAAAGTTCAGAGTACCAGGATTGGAACCGAGAGGTGCGGGTTCGGGTTTGATACCATTTCCAGCTCNCTGCCCTGGAGTGGGGCTGGCTGCCCTGGAGTGGGGCTGGCTGCCCTGGAGTGGGGCTATCTGCCCTGGAGTGGGGCTATCTGCCCTGGAGCGGGGCTATCTGCCCTGGAGCTGTCTCTTATACACATCTAGATGTGTATAAGAGACAGGAATAAAACATATAATATATTCCATCATTTCCATGCATGTACATGCTTGTTATGAATGAGAGAAAAATGCCTGTGTTAACACTTAACAGGATTGGAATTATCCTACTTTTCTAAAATTATAGAGCTCCAAAGACCAGGATATTTAATCAACAGTGCAAATCTGTATTATCAGGCACAATTTTCCATAATTTGCCATGGTACAGACTGCAGAAAGAAGGTGAATATTGCAAGATCTTTGGCAATGCTTCAACAGCAAAATTTAGGCCTTAAAATAATCTTGCCAACACATTTTGATTGAAATTATTTCATATTAGATATTTGCCAGACTAAATGCCAGTCCTCGGCCAACTATTTAGAAAAAAGTAACGTTTCCAGTACGTTGGATGGATCAGGATGCAGCCACTAGTAAATCAGGTAAAATCATTTCTGACTCAGGAAATTTTAAGCAAAATATGATTTAATAGCTACCTCTAT